AGGTATGGATGTCTGGATGTGGAAACATTCTGCACTCTAAAAAATGCTGAGTTAAAAACAACCCAATTTGGGTTATTTGGTAACCCAGCGCTGGGTAAATATAGGACAGAATGCATGCTGGGTTATTTGACCCAGCCAGTTGGGTTGTGTGAATAACCTAACAAGTTGGGTTGTTGGGATTACCCAAACATAGGTTAAGTTAACCATCAGATGGGTAATGTTTACTCTTATGCTGGGCTGACCTAGCAGCTGGGTCTGTTTTAATTTAATCCTTAGGTTATTTTAGGGGCGTGGCTTTTAGATGGATATTATTGGCAACCCGTCATAGTAATTGGCCACCTGTTCATCATGTTAACCTCTTAAGGATCAGACCCTTTTTTACAATTACATACCCAAATCTAACTGCCTGTAGCTCAGGACCTGAAGCAAGGATATGCATATTCTTGATACCATTTGAAAGGAAACACTTCGAAGTTTGTGAAAATGTGAAATTAATGTAGGAGAATATAACACATTAGATCTGGTAAAAGATAATACAAACAAAAAACATGTGTTTTCTATTTTTAATGTTTTTTCCATCAGCATTGAAATGCAGGAGAAAGGCCACAATATGATATTGCAGTTTAGGCGCAATTTAGATTTTGGCCACTAGATGGCAGCAGTGGGTGTGGAGCCAGAGACAGCAGGGTCTCAAACTGTAGAACCCAGTTCCTACATTTGAATATAAAAAATTATTTTATCAAACAGAACTATGCTACATTTTATCTCTGGGACCCTTAGGATGACAGATCAGAGCAAGATTACTGAATGTAAGTACAATATTTACCTTCAGAGGTGAATGTATCAAACCAGTTGACATGATAAATGTTTTGTTGTTGTGCACTCTCCTCAAACATTAGCATGGTATTTATTCACTGTAATAGCTACTGTAAATTGGACAGTGCAGTTAGATTAACAAGACTTTAAGCTTTCTGCCCATATAAGACATGTCTATGTCCTGAAACGTTTGCTGTTACTTACAACAGTCATGCTAATCACGTTAGCACACGTTAGCTCAACCGTCCCGTATACGGGACATCGATCCCATAGAGGTTAAGTTTACATACTGCAAATTGAAATGTTCTTATATTTTGGGGCATTTTACACATTCTTCAATGATATTAAAGCTGCAATATGTAACTTTTTGGGCGACCTGACCAAATTCACATAGAAATGTGAGTTATAGATCTGTCATTATCACTGAAAGCAAGTCTAAGAAGCGGTAGATCTATTCTACGTGTATCTATTTCTATGATTCCAGTTCTTACATTTTGTTTTCGCATATTTTACATTGGGTTTTGTACACTAGCTTCAAAAAGCTGAAAATGCATTATTTTTTGTTATTGAAAATATATTTCACAGCGGTTTAGATGGTACAATGATTCTCTACATTATACATCGCTTGTTTTGTCACATAAACTGAAATTAGGTGAACTATTCGAATTTTAGTAACCAGGAAATGGTGGAAAGAATTCTTCATATTGCACCTTTAAGATTATTTATTACATATTATTATAATGTATACCACCTTATTGCATTATAAGGTATACCTCCTTATTGTATCCCAACAATGAGATTTACATAGGCTTTTGGGGAACTTATACAGTTCTATAAGCCTCATTGAAGCTACAAAAATGTCAATGTCCAACCTTAACATGTGATAACTATACAACAGAACAGATGAACAGGAATGACATTTACTCTCATCGGTGGCTAAAATTAACTACCTGAAAGCCACGTGCCTACTAAACTATGCCTCCAGTCTTCAGATCAGACCTGCTGGGTCATACTTCAATAACCCATCACCAATAACCCAGCACCCAGCATCAATAACCCAGCAGTTTTTAAAGAAAACAACCCATCTAAGTGACTCAAGGCCTGCAATCCAGCAGTTGGGTCAACCAAACAAACACAGCATTTTTTTGAGTTTGCTCAGGCAGCAGGCCAGGCAGGCAGGCAGGATAAAGTCAGCCTTCACCAGAACCAGCCTTACGGGTGAACAGGGCCCCTTGGGAGAGGGCCCCTGGGGAGAGGTGTAGGAAGCCCTGTGAGATACAGAGGGTGGTGTCTTGTTATTTTCGCTGCTCCACGAAGACTGGTCAACCCTCACTGTAGCCACAATGACGGCCAAGAGCATCCTGTTTGGCCACCGGCCTGATGGCACAATAGACTGGACCAGAGTAACACGCACACACACACACATATACAGTACCTTCAGAGTATTCATACCCCTTGACGTATTCCACATTTAGTTGTGATACAGCCTGAATTCAAAATGGATTTTAAAAAATGTTCTCTCATCCATCTACACACAATACCCCATAATGACAAAGTGAAAACGTGTTTTTAAATGTTTATAAATGTATTGAAAATCATATACATAAATATCTCACCATTGGCATCGATTACAGCTGTGAGTCTTTCTGGGTAAGCCTCTAAGCACTTTGCACACCTGGATTGTACAACATTATTGTTCAAGCTCTGTCAAGTTGGTTGTTGATCATTGCTAGACAGCCATTTTCAAGTCTTGCCATAGGTTTCCATCCTCCATTTTCTCCTATCACGGCCATTAAACTCTGTAACTATTCACCATTGGCCTCATGGTGTAATCCCTGAGGGGTTTCCTTCTTCTCCGGCAACTGAGTTAGGAAGGACGTCTGTATCTTTGTAGTGACTGGGTGTATTGATACACCATCCAAAGTGTAATTAATAACTATATCATGCTCAAAGGGATATTCAAGTTTTTGTGTTTTGGTTTTTACCCATCTACCAATAGGTGCCCTTTTTTGTGAGTCATTGGAAAACCTCCCTGGTCTTTGTGGTTGAATCTGTGTTTGAAATTCACTGCTTGACTGAGGGACCTTACAGATAATTGTATGTGTGGGGTACAAAGATGAGGTAGTCATTAAAAAATCAAGTTAACCACTACTATTGCACACAGAGTGAGTCCATGCAACTTATTATGTGACTTGTTAAGCAAATTTTTACTCCTGAACTTATTTAGGCTTGACATAACAAAGGGGTTGAAAACGTATTGACTCAAGACATTTTAGCTTTTCATTTTTTATTAATTTGTAAACATTTCTAAAAACACAATTCCACTTTGACATTATGGGGTATTGTGTTTAGGTAAGTGACACAACATTTCCATTTAAACCATTTAAAATTCAGGCTGTAACGCAACAAAATGTTGAAAAAGTCAAGGGGTGAATACTTTCTGAAGTCCTAAACACACACACATGCGTGCGACTCCCGCTACACATCGCCACCTTATCGCAATTGATGTTATAGTGACATTGAAAGCCTGAAACTGGAGTATTCGAGCACATGCATATCACACACATACACACACCAACGCATAGGCTATGTTCTAACTGTATGCACACACATACTAGCACACACACTCGGACGCACACACACGCACGCACGCACACGCACACACAGACACACACACTCCAAAAGGCTTTTTAGCTATCAATCCCTATTATTACCGTACTTTTATTTTTCATTGCTGATTATTAATTAATTTACATTTTGTTAACACACACAGACACTGATATTGATATGTTTGTTGTTGTTGTGAATATCAATTTATATTCGTTTAAGAAATACTTTGAACTATAATGAATGTACATGTATAACCAAATATGAAACGAAATTTGAAAGAAATTAGCCTGACTCAACCGACAAAACGTTGCTCCTGAGCCACACACACGCACACACGCAAGTGCACGCATTGACTTGGCAACACGCATAGTGCGTTGAACCACATAATTCAAAGTATGACTGTCAAGGGGAAGTAGCGGGAACAATGAAGTGGCCTCGTGTGTTTACATTCACAAGTGTTGATGACAGGTATACATCTGAGAGAGAACAACAACGCTCGACACATCCGACGAGTAGGACTAAAGACGTGTCTGGCGTCGACCACCGGGCCGGCCGGTGATAGAAACATTCCTTAGGTCAAAAAAATTGCATTATATTTAACATTATATTTATGCTATTTTATTGATGGAATTATTATTTGTATTATCATTATTATGACTTTTTTTTTGTTTATTTGTGTTGTTTATTGTATTGCTATTATTAATCATTTTATTATTATTGTCTGGTAAGCCCTAGTGTTGTTGTTGTTATAATTATAATTATTGACTGGCTAACACCACAATTTACAATACTAAAGGTCTTCATCGTAATCATTTAGCAAGCGAAAAATATTATTGAATGTCCAGGCTCATTCAATCAAATTAAAAAATATATATATATTTATGTCTTATATTTTAGTTTTTACTTTATTCGGCGGTAAATCTCATAAAGCATTTTGAAATGTGAAAATCATACAAATACAATCACGCGCACCGAGTTGATTTGTAATAGGCTAGAACAAAACGTTCACAAAAGAGATATCAAACTTATCAAATACCTTTTTTCATAAATATTTGTACATCATTCGATAGGTTTTTTAAGTTACACTGTGTTATTTGTTTCATATTTTGACAAATTTTGGCAATCAATGAAAAACTGAACGTGATAGTCTGAGCAAAAATGATCATACATGAACTGCTACATTGACTTTGCTAAAGTGGGGAAATAAATAGGTGGGAAATATAAAAAATATATTATTTCTCAGTTGCTTCCCAAAAAGTTATGTTACATTGTAGGCAATACTTGTATTTTATTATTTTGGATTACATATTTAATCGTATCTGAGAAATATGCCGTTGATCTTCTGGTATTTACAAAGACAATCTCTTTAATCGTAGGATCTTCTTCAGGAAACAATTCAAACTAAAGCTGGGGTAGAGTAGGCTTCAGTAGTCACGGTGAAGGGTGTGTCGAGAGAGAGAGAGAAAGGTAGAGAGAGCGACAGAGAGAGAGAGAGAGAGCGAGAGAGAGAGAGAGAGAGAGAGAGAGAGAGAGAGAGAGAGAGAGAGAGAGAGAGAGATGATAACATGAAAGCAGGAATCTTGTCCATTACTGTGCCTCGGCTTCCCACTCCTCTCCTCTCTGGAGAGATGGTTATTATTTTATTGTAGCCTACATTAGGCTATAGTCTATTCAGAGAATTAAAAAAACTATTTGAAATGGTAGCCTATGTTTGACTACATGACAAGAGTCAGTTTACAGAAGAAGTTGGAGAGAATTTCTGTTGGATTACTAGCAATCATTCATGCGTTAGCGAGGAGCCTGTGGACACAGCTACTATCATAACCGACTATCAACGCTGATGGTCACCGCCGAGGAGTAGATATGTACCAGGGCATAACCATGACAACCAACCACGGACCCTCGTCGTACGAGCCCGGTTTCCTCCACAATGCCTCCGCCACAACCTCGCCGGTGTACGTGCCCACGACCCGGGTCACCCCCATGATCCCCACGCTGCCTTACCTCCAGACCCACGGGTCCTCGCAGCAGATCAACCCCGTGTCGAGCCACTCGGCCTGGGCGCAGCCGGGTTCCGAATCGGTGCCCTCCTACAACACGGGAAATGCGCACCACCCTCCGGTTTCCCCGCGGTTCTCCTTCTCCACCAGCCCACCTCTCTCATCCGGGATCGCCGTGGCTCGGGAGACGACCACATTTACTAGTCCGCTCAACATCTCCGCCAACGGGAGGGATCATTACGGGACGCGAAACCTCGGCGGGTCCTACCACAGTCCGTACCCGGCCTATATGAGCCCCAACATGGGCGGGACGTGGGCCACGTCTCAGTTCGACAGCTCCGTCCTGCATAGCCTGCAGTCCGGGGGCCAGACACGGCACCCCAACTTAGGTAAGAAAGGTGAAAACATGGTCAGAAATATTAACCTTTTCGTGTCAGGTTTTCCATTGTCGACAAATGTTTTGCTACAAAACATTGCTTTCAAATTCAGATTAACACATTGCCAAGAGTAGGCCTACATTTCAGTTGTTTCATTATTAGAATTAAAGCTATTGGTAAATGTCATACTTGATTCAGTAGGTTATAGGTCAGTATGAAAAATGTATGCACTCACTAACTGTAAGTCGCTCTGGATAAGAGCGTCTGCTAAATGACTAAAATGTAAAAAAATGTCAGATGTATCCAAAGGTCAGCACACAACAACCGTTCGTTAAACTGCGCATACTAATATAGCCTATATATCTCCGCATTTTTATCCAAATTTGAACGTGTTTATCTTTCCAAGTCATCAGGACATAATGTTATTAGTTTAACATGGTTTCCACCAAATGAAAGCAATACTAATAATACAACCATATATCACCGAAACACTTGTACAGGTCTCATCACAGCCTGAGTCATGATAACTTTAATCAATGGTTTGAAATAGACAAAGTCAATGCATTGCTTTAACACATTGGGAGGGTCATGTCGTATGAGTAGCCTATGTTACGATATTTCTATCATTTGTTATCATTTGTCATTTGTGATAATAAAGAATACTAATGGCCAACGGGGTAGATAGAGATAGGCGTAGAGTACGACAATATTACACATTGGGGCCTGCATTGAAAAAAAATCAAACTGCATAGCCAGCCCAAGCCATTGCATTTTATGGATATTTTGCTGAATAAAATATTTTTTATCATGTTTATTGTAGGTTTTAGGTCTCAGACTAAGCAAGGCATTTTAATGGTCAAGTAACAGGCATTTTTGCCTTGTCAAACCAAGGAAATTAAGAATAAAACGATCATAACACAGTTTAACTGTATAATAAACAATTCAAGAAGCTGGAAATAGACTAGGCTACCTAGTTCAGGTGTAAGAAATAGCTTAGGCTATAGGCTACAGTATGAGTCTTTACCATTAATAAATGATCAAGTGTTTTATATATATTTCCACACTGTGAGATTGAAATATTACTGTGAAATTGTGAAAATGATGATAATTCCCTTTTATTGTAAGAGCTGTTTGAAAAGAGCCTGAAATTTCAGCCTGTTTTGGTGGAAGTTTGGCCTTCCACGGTGACATCACCATGTGGTAAATTAGTTAATAGACCAATAAGAGAGTTCCAAAACTCTCTGCCAATAACAGCAAATGTTATGTTTTCCCCTCCCCACTCAAACCACTCCCAGACAGTCCTAGCAAAATTCATGCTTGAGAAATTGTTCTTTGCTAAGAAGCTTTTTTTTAAAAACCATTTTAATTGGTAACAATCACAGTAAGGTACTTAATTGTTACCCAGAAATTATTTGATATTGAGATAAAAACGGCTGCATTGGACCTTTAAAAAAATCCACATTTTTAGAAATACAAATATTCAGCTAATTAAACTCTTATTTTTGACAATCCCCGTGTTTCTCAGAATAATTGTTATTTATTTACACCCTTCTGTCCGACAGCTTCTTTATCTTTCACCGACGCATTCGTTATATTAGGCATTTCGATGGCAGATTTAAATAGGCCTACATAAATAAAATAAAACATTTAAAAAGAAGCAAAAGGAAATGGGATTACATTATAAATCAAAGCAGGCTAATGCCACCCAGTTATTATCAACATAAATTAGAGAATGCAAATTTAGAAGTAATTCACTTCGGATAATAAGTGAATAAATTCCAAAACTATAATCCCTTATTTAGCCTACCACTTTGTTTAAATTACATTTATATGAATTTGACATTATTTTACTTGAATGTAGCCTAGGATACATTTATTTTATTTCAGTCATCTGCAACAAACGAATGAATAAAACCAACAACTCAAAATAAAAACAAAATGCACATTTAATTGTACCTAAACTGATATTGAAATTCAACCGATAAGAATTTCAATAGCAGACCAGAAGATGAATGGATGTCGCCTACATTATGCATGGTACATCAATCAGAAATATCAAATAGTTTTAGTTTGGTCTCATGTTCATGATCTAAAAAGTCAAGCACAGCAGTCGTTTATCCACCCACGCTTTTACACATGCTATGCATGATGATACAACTGCATATAGGCCTACAAAGCTTAACATCTCATGTTATTGTGAATACAATCATGTTATAATTATTTATCACTCTTGAGGTACAGATTATTCTATTTAAGAATGGATATAACCCTATCATCACAAACTAAAACTGAAGCAAGAGGTGAATGCTCACGGCAAACCATGGGACAGAACACCTCCTGTTCATCACAGAGAGAATCAAAAAGGTTCAAAGAACAAATATGAAACACAATTCAATTTATAGATAAAATATCAGAAGAAAAAAATTGTGCTGGTTGAGGCAAGTTTATTACAACCATTTACAACCATTGACTGCCCAAAACTAACATTTAGTTATAAGATATTCATAAGACTACTGTAATAGGGATATTGTGATCCTAGAGAAAATGAAGGTTGATTCTCCCTCCTGCCTAGTTCAGTGTGATTGTTGCAGGTGGTTGGGAGACTTTAGTTCACACTGAATGATAAGACTGAATTCCACACATTGCAACTGGAATGGAAATCGCTCTGGATAAAATGTGTGTCAGAAACTAGGTAATATTTACATGTCAAATAAAGTCCAGGTAAAAACCACCGCTTACTGGTCTGGTGGTAGGAGTACACAGCATAGGCCCACATTCATTACTGATATAAACTCTTCCAAAAGGGTTATTTGGCCGTCCCCATAGAAGAAACCTTTTTGCTTCCAGGTAGAACCCTTTTTGGTTCCAGGTAGAAACCTATCGGGATCCATGTAGAACCCTCTCTAGAAAGAGTTCTACATGGAACCAAAAAGGTTTTTTCAAAGGGTTCTCCTATGGGGACAGCCGAAGAACCCCTTTAGACTCTAAATAGCAACTTTTTTTCTAAGAGTGTACTGAATGTTAATAAATAATAAATACATCGCAGAAATGTTCCATACACACAAAAAGCTGAGGAGAATTGATGTCTTTAATAAAGCCCTTTTGTGGGGAAAAACTCATTCTGATTGACTGGGCCTGGCTCTCCAGTGGGTGGGCCTATGCCCTCTATGGCCCACCTATGGCTCCACCCCTGCACAGTCATGTGAAATCCATCGATTAGGGCCTAATTAATTCATTTCAATTGATTGATTTACTTTATTGAACTGTGACTCAGTAAAATCTTAGAAATTGTTGCATGTTGCGTTTATATTTTTGTGTATTTGGAAATTGTCTTCCATCTCTACGGCTAATGCTGATGCCGTCTACAGTTGGTGCATAGGAATTGGCTGATTCTGGATCTGCTTCTGAATAGGAACCACTGGGACATGGATCTGCCTCAGTATGTGGTTTTGGTGAACTCTGGACACAGTGATCAAAAGTTAATCACAATAGGATGGTAGTTTCACCACAAGCACTGGTTTGGCTTGTGTCATCATCACCTTTGTCTGATTACATGTTACTCAGTCTGTGATGGGTTTCTTGCTTTGGACCTTATATGATTACATTAGACATTTTAGTCATTTAGCAGATGCTCTTATCCAGAGCGACTTAGTGAGTGCATACATTTTCATTTTTTTTCATACTGGCTCCCCGTGGGAAACAAACCCACAACCCTGGCGTTGCAAGCGCCATGCTCTACCAACTGAGCTACACGGGGCCCCATATGATCTAGTATGACCATGTCTTTTTCTATGGAGCTGTCCATATGTGCACTGATCTATGGCTGAGCTAATGTCTTTGCTCCAATCCACATTTTTACAATCACTCCCATTAATTTGGCAAATCTTAGCTACACAACCAACCACTGATAGAAGTAGAAACCAAACCTGGATTTAGATTTCAACACAGGAACAATAACATTGCCAGGTAACATGATCATATCAAAAGAAACTGCTATCATATGAGATCTCCAGTGTAGATACTCCAGTTTTACAGATAACACATTGATTTAATCCAACCCTCTCACCTCTCTGGGTGCTGTTGTACTTAAATCCAAACCCATTACTTTAGACTGAGTTTATCACAGCTCCACTGTGGAAGAGAGAGTGAAAGTCTCTATTGTTCCAGAGGTGGACTGAGTGAGAGGGAGGGAGAGAGGAAAACTCCCCAAGACTCAACTTTCCTGTGATAAAGTACATTAAAAACATCCCAATATCAGATTAGATCAACTATATTAAATCCTTACACGTTACATTCTGGAATATATTATACATGAAAAATATCCCAATATGAGATTAGATCAACTATATTAAATCCTTACATGTAGATGTATAATATATTCCAGAATGTAACATATAAGGATTTAATATGGTTGATCTAATCTGATATTGGGATGTTTTTCATGTATAATATATTCCAGAATGTGATGTGTAAGGATTTAATATGGTTGATCTAATCGGATATTGGGATGTTTTTCATGTATAATATATTCCAGAATGTAATGTGTAAGGATTTAACATAGTTGATCTAATCTGATATTGGGATGTTTTTAATGTACTTTATCACAGTAAAGATGCTTATTAGTGTAACTTGCAGTATTTGAGAGAAAGGCCTTTCATTGCGGCCTGTGCTTGATTTTATTCTGTGTTTTGAACGTAAACACATCAGAAATTTACAATGATACAATCACATTAATTATGAACATAATAGTAAGCCCTTCAGATAAGCTCTCGAGGGATATACAGGAGACACATTTCTTGTCTATAGTGGTAATAAACAATATGGTGCCAATATGACCCATCAGGGGAAGCCAGTAGCACATGGGGTGATAATATGGGTTGCAAACTGAGATCCGCACACAACTCTCATTGACATCAATACATGATTTACCCAAAAGCTTGAGTTACATCTGTGGATCTGAAATTATGATTCTGCCCCAGGGAGACTGTTTTCACTACCATTGAATTCCATTCCAATTCCATTTCAATTGAAAGGTGTTTTCTCAATGACTAAAGACTGATACGCTCTTCAGAAATTGAAAGAGCCAACAGCAATAGATAAACGCTACATTCTGTTATTATGAAGACTTAATGGGACAGGGTTATATTGTGTTCAGATGGAACATTGAAATAGACACTTAAAAAATATTTTACTCTTGACCTTTTAACACGGACTGCCGGTGCTGACATTTCTAAACAATAGACCCACAGAGATAGCAATACTTAGTGACATTCTGTGAGATTTATACACATGGATATGCATACAGACCCATCGCCAGACCTCAGTCTTAAGGGGGGCATATGAAATGCATCGGAGGGCAGGGCACAATTGTTATTAGCCTACAGTACATATATTTAATAATAAATTCCCTCAAGTGGGGGGAACAAGCATTTTTGGGGGCGGGCCCGGCCCCCTATGGCCCGCCCATAGCGACGGGTGTGTATGCATATATGATCTTCATTTGACCACTCTTTTGTTGAACATTTTCCAGAACCTCAGGAGCTTTGTGATTTACATAAATTAACTGAAACCCCACACTAACACATGGCTATATTATATTAACAGTATTGCACTTTTAAATCCTGTTGCTGCAGGATTATTTTTCTGTGACAATATAGCTGAAATTAAGATCCTACATCTGTGCCTCAGCAGTTCTTTTGTCTATTGTCTTGTGTTTCTGCCATGTGTCGGCTAGCTTCTGCCCAGCACAAGGTTGCCCTTCCCTACACTGCTGTAGCTCTGCTTTGTTGTCAACCTTGAAGGAAGTCTGCCTCTACCTCCAGATATCAGCCTACACACGTTCCCCATTAACAACCCACTGAATCAGATAATACATCTATAGTTTTAAGCACTGTTTCATTTCAATTGACCCATACATTCATGTTTTCCAAATGTCAAATACATTTTGTGTGATTATATGAAGTATATGCACAATATAGTTAGATACTGCATCTGACAGAGTGGTTAAGTGCTCCCTGGAGATACCCTGTTATGTGTGAGAGAGGAGGGGTGAGAGCGAGGGAAGATTGTATTTATCAGACGTCATAGTATCTCTAGAGAGATTGTCCATTTGTATAAAATGAAGCTCTATTCCAGCTCTATTTCCAGCCTGGCCCTTTATCAAGGGAGGAGCTGTCAGATAAGGAAGAATTCCAGACCACTATGGAGTAGTGCGTTAGTATCATAGAGAATGATAGAGGCCTCTAGTGGCCAAAAGGCTGTTTTAGCATGGTGAGCACCATTAAGGGCTTCCACCATGCTTCCGCCATTTTAAAGTAGTCAAAGTAGTCAACTGGATGAGGATTCTATGGGTTGTAGCCTCAATGGCGCTGCCCATGCTGTCACAGACGCTATAAGGGGTATAGATATAAAGATGAGTATTCTATCTAGCTCTATGATTGGTATGGACAGGGAGGGAGAGAGCACCATCTTCTGGTCAGGAATCCTCTGAGTTGACTTTCAAAACTGGATAAACTGTTTGATGTTATTCTGTGATTTTAGGTTGTTAGGTAATGTTTAGGTAAGCTGTGTTTGGATTTGTTTTCCAATACCTCACTCTCTCTCTCCCTCTCCCCACTCTTGGTCCCCCCCACCCCCCCCCCCCCCCCCCCTCTCTCTCTCTCTCGTCTCCTTCCCCCTCCATCAGAGCTGTATGATGACTTCGCTGAGGGGCGTGAGTGTGTGAACTGTGGGGCGATGTCCACCCCCCTGTGGAGACGGGATGGTACGGGCCACTACCTGTGTAACGCCTGTGGACTGTACCACAAGGTGAACGGTATAAACAGACCCCTCATCAAACCCCAAAGACGGCTGGTAGGTGACAAGACAGGATTTAATCTTCAACATATAGTACACAAAAAAGCATGTATTTCACTCTCTTTCCTTCTCTCCCCTTCTTTCTACTTCTTTCTCTCTCCCACCCACTCTTCTTTCTCGTTCTGTGTGTGTGTGAATACAGACTTTTTGTAAGGTTGTTATAATGTTGTAATAAGGTATAAGGATGGTATACTGATTCACTATGTGGTGGATGTCATTTGATTCACACTCTCTCTATATCTCTCTCTTTCTCTCTATCTCTCTCTCTCTCTCTCTTCTTCTCTCTATCTCTCTCTCTCGTCTCTCTCTCCTCTCCTCTCTCTACTCCTCTCTCTCTCTCTCCGCTCTCTCTCTCTCCTCTCTCCTCCTCTCTCTCTCGCTCTCTCTCTCCTCTCTCTCCTCCTCTCTCTCTCTCTCTCTCTCTCTCTCTCTATCTGTGTGTGTGTTCCAGTCTGCGTCTCGAAGAGTGGGTCTGTTGTGCACTAACTGCCACACCACCACCACCACACTGTGGAGACGCAACGCAGAGGGAGAGCCTGTCTGCAACGCCTGTGGCCTCTACATGAAACTACACGGCGTTCCTCGTCCCCTAGCCATGAAGAAGGAGGGGATTCAGACCCGCAAACGCAAACCCAAGAACCTCAACAAGTCCAAACCTGGTCCGTTTGTGTGTGTGTGTGTGTGTATGTGTGTGTGTGTGTGAGTGTGTGTGTGTTTGTGTGTGGTGTGTGTGTGTGTGTGTGTGTGTGTGTGTGTGTGTGTGTGTAAAGTAACCCTGGTCTCTGTGTTGTAGGGACTCCAGGCATGGATGGCCACACCCCCAGCAGCACTCCCAGTGCCCCTAGTAACTCAGAGGAGCCTCGCCAGATAAAGACAGAACCAGAGGCACTCTGCCTGTACTCACACCACCACAACACACACGCACAGGTTAGTCAATAACCTCTCTCTCTCTCCCTTCTCTCTCTCTCTCTCTCCTCTCTCTCTCTCTCTATCTCTCCTCCCTCTCTCTCTCTTTCTCTCTCTCCATCCTCGTCTCTTCCCCTTTCTCTCTCCTCTCGACACACAACCACCTCCACGCCTAGCACCTGTCTCCTGTCCCCAGGTTTCGGCTAGCTATGATCCAGGGTGGGCCCTGCCCCTCAAGCTGTCCCCTGGGGTGCACGTGGGCCTCTGGCTCCAAGACGAGCCCTGAACACTACTCCTTGTCTCCCGCTCCACAGACAGCTATGTACCTCCTTTTGAGCTCCGACATTGTCTGCCAGACACAGACACAACCCCCCCAAACCCCCCCCCCCCCCCTTTTCCCCCCCCTTCTCCCCCTTTCCTCTTCCTTCCCTTCCTCGTCCCCTCCTGGGGGGTTTCCCCCCCAAACCCGCCTCACCCCCAAAACCTTCCTTTTTTTTTTGATGTTTTTTTTATTTTTTTTTGTTTTCAGACACACAACACAACCCAACACACAACAAACACCCACAACACCTACACGCAACCAAAGCTCTTAGCCCACCTGTCTTCCTGTCCCTCCAGGTTTCGGGCCTCCCAGCATATATGAATGCCCAGGGTGGGGCCCTGCCCCTCAAGCTGTCCCCTGGGGTGCACGGTGGGTCCTCTGGCTCCAAGAACGAGCCCTGGAACAGCCTGATCCTGGCCTAAGAGAGAGAGGACCACCCCTGACATCTCACACCAAGCTACCCACAGCACAGCTACTGTACCTTCCTTTCTGAGCTCCGGCACTAAGTTAGGTCTGGAGCACAGACACAGACACACAGAACCAGCAGGCATAGAAAGATGGAAATTAAACACATAATGAGAACTGTTCAGGTGCAGAAACACATATCTATAGAACTGATGACAAAAAGAAGAGAAAAAAAAGTGAAGCACATGTAGCAGGCCTTGATTGCACTCCCTCGATTACCCTGTGCTCACAGGAACCTCCAATGTGCGAGGGATAATAGAAGACAAAAACAATCCTCTGTTTCTTCAAAGTGATTTTATTTCCTTTTACCAGCTGGCCGGACGTTGGTGTTGAATGAACTCCATGGACTTCATCACTCTGTATAGTGTGACTGTCTACTGCAAAAACAATGCTGTCAATTCTTTTCACCTTTTCCTAATGTATTATTACTAAATACTATGATATTTGCATCCTAGTCATCTTTACTGTGCCTATTTGCTTTGATTTGGTGTATGACAAAACTATTATTTGATTTAAAAAATATACTGTCATCTCTTACTGATAAACTACCTAGCCTGGCCACTAAGCTGCTTGTGAATGGGATATGGTTTTATTGGCACATACCGCCCTCTGTAGATTATAGTGAATTTGTGCACCCATGAAAGGGGCAGAGTATGTTCCTACAAGCAAAACTCTAAAAGATAATCCTTCCCAAAATAATTTTAGTAATCTCTGATATTTTCATGTCTGTTTATTTCAGTGTAATTGGGTAGGTTATACACCCTGGTATTTATTCTACTGAAAACAAAAACAATATTTCTTTATTTTGTGATTGTTAGAATGCTTTACCCATACTGTATGTATTTCATTCAAGAAACAAGCATTCGGAAGCAAATACTGTTAAAAAACATATACTTTAGCGATAACATTTTATGCCTTAATTTGCTTGTAAATTGCAGCGGGAAAACACGCATTTGGTATGGGAGTATTGTCACATGTAATTGACCATGAAAATATGAACATACATTTCTATGTAAAGACTTCACTCCAGTATAATTGTATAATACACCATTGTGATATACTGAAAGTTACCCTTGAGAACCCCTACTACACAGTGAGAGATGGCACCTGTATCTCCATGAGCTCGATGTGCACTAACTAACACTGTACTTGATGCCCTTCCTTAGTGTGCACCTGTAGCTGTACTGAGGAATGTAATAAAGACAAGCATTTTGACACATCATTGTTATTATACATATTACATTCAATAGGATAATCATTCTTTCTCAACAAAATGATGAGGGGACAAATACGCAGACAGATATAATAGGTTCTATTGTGCATTGTGTTTCAACAAGTCAAGGGCCAATATCCCTGGTGAAGCAAGGAGCAATTCAAGGGACATTGGCGAAAACTTCTCAAACCTAATCTGGAAACTTTATCTGACCAATCTGTATGTAGTCTTTAGTAAGAGCGGTGACATCCTTGATGAAAAGCTGGACAACCCCCCTGTTGAAGTCTTCAATTAATCTCTCCCTGAGAAGATCAGCATATTTGTCCTGTATCATGTCTCTCCAGCACTGCTCAAACGACAGTCTCAGTTTAGTACAAACCGTGTCACATATTTCTGGGTCGAAACTGTAACCAAGGGCAAATGCCTTCCCTTTCTCTAGGTACTCCTCTAAACACTCTTTTTCCTCAACAAGAGAGGGGTGCACAGCCTCAAGCATGGTGGTTATTTCCTGTGTCAATACTTTTATCTCGTCTTGCAATCCTGATGCTGGAATTACACACTTCTTTTTGAAATATGTTTTTCTGCCTTGTTGTAGAGTAGTGATGTCTAGATGGAATTTAAAATTCCTGTTTTCCTGGCTCAGCCATCTTTTGATAGTCAAGAACAGAATTTCACTTAATGGGACTAGATTATTTCCAGGGCTTTTTTTTATCCTATTCAGGTAGTTTTCATAATCATGACTTCCAAATAATAGCTCAAACTGGGCATAACTGACATCTTTGAATACATTCTCTTTGGTTCCCTTGAAGCCCCAGCACTTTCTGTAGCCAATAGAAGTCCTAACCCCATGTTGGGAGTACCATTCAGAAGCCTTCTGGTTTAGATTTAGCATACATGGTTCAATGGTTCTTGCCAAACAGGGGCTGTTCAAAGTGAATAGATACACATTCCAGTCTTCAGAAACATCCTCAGATTCAAGGAGTTCTTGAGTTTGTTTGATGATAATATCTTCGCTGTGTTGTCCATTGTTATAATTGGGGTAGTAGGGTCCATACATGATGACCTCCTCTGGTTTTTCTAGAACCGCCCATGAATGCTGCTTATCCTCTGGTCCACATTCCTCTGTGATGTCGTCATAAAATCCCACAAACTTCTTGTTGATGGAATCTTCAAGTAAAACGTCATTGACATCATCCCCAGACTTGATATGCTCTAAAACCCTGTTGACAGAGTTCTGTGGGTTGGCCCAGGGATGTAGCCTGTCTAAAGATGTTCTGCCATTGGATATCAAGTCCTTGGTCTCTCCATTTAAATAAACATCAGCCCCTCCAAGCTCCTCTCCACCACCATCCAACTGAGACCATTTACGCTTCATTCTTTAAAAGGGGAAATAAAAAATGAGTCCAAAAAGCATTAAAGCAACTCTTCTCCTGTTTGAGATGTGTATACAATTTATACGAGGAGCATGTAAGGTGATTACTGTATTATTATGTTTACATACAAAAGCTACATACAAAAAACAGCTACATACTAAAAAGCTACATACTAAAAAAGCTACATACAAAAGCTTTGAAACAGGTTCGACAACATTCTCAAATAATATAGTACTGGAAAAGATGGCAACTCCCAACTTTTAAACATTTGTATAAAGATTAGTATAAATCCTTAGTATAAACCCCAGTTAATAGGGTTATGTGAGGCTACTGTATATGTCCATACGTATATCAAATGTACAGTCAAGTCAAAAGCAGGTAAAAGTAAATACCTATTAATCTGAATGGAAGCTCAGGGGATACATCAGTTACATGTATCTCATGATAAGAACATGATTACTTAAAATAATTATATTATTATAAACGATTGTTACAAGTATAGTAAGTATTGGTTTACTCACTGGGAAAGATCAGTTGTATTATTGACTTCTTGACCTCTTCCCTCAGGCAACTCAGAAAACACTGAAACCAATTTCAGTTGACTTCTGCTTCAGTTAGCTGATCAAATGTATTTGACTATAGTCCAGTATTTCAAGTATCTGTCGTCCAACACATGAGTCAGAGTAGACTTGTGTATTAGACACAGGCAGAGCCATGGGTTGCTAAGAAGATCATCCTTTGCTTGTCAAGGATTCTTTATGAAAATGACCAGATAATGTATTGCATGAGTCCCTAGTTATGCTCCTCCTTGTGTTGGCCTTAAATGCAAAGCAGTGATGAATTCCTTTTACCAGCCAATCATTGTGTATAGCCAATGCATAAACAGTAGTTCAGCAACAGTAAAATTACATCACTGATGGCTACTAGGCCCATATCCAGTCTGGCAAGTTCATCCAAGGTTGTAAATACCTCTTGACATGTACATGTAGCTTTTTGACATACAGTATTGGTTCATGCCTATAGGCCTATTCTATTTTCTGGGATGCATATTACTCTTCCACCGTTGACTATTACTCCAATTCTATCCTAATGTTATAGCCCTGGTTATTTTCATGTCAATACCTGTAAGAGAGTGTGGGAATTACAGGAACACATCTTTAGGAAGAGGAGTAATTATTATATCTCTATTACCCTTTTCTACACTGCCGTTTGGGCTTGACACAAAATGTATTTGTTGAATCAGTGCTCCAGCTGTGGTGCTTGCCTCAGGTTTCATTCTAATTTAAACATTAAGTAGTTCCTCTGTGGCTCAGATTCCTACAGATGGTAGGCCTACAATAGGTGTTTATAACTCTATTTATTTCCTGTTTATTTCTGTTCCTCTTCTTTAAATGGAAAGTACAGACAGAGGTCCTCCTCCAATGGATGGCCTGTCTCACATTGTATAGATAGCCTCCCCAAAAACATAACAAGTAGTCTCAGAGCCATGCTGAATAACATGTTGGACAGGCTTAGTGCGGCACTGTCTCACTTCAATAATATTTTTTGATCAGAATTGCCTGTGTAGACTGGGCTTAGACCCACATTTCCACAGTGAGACGGAGAGAGAGAGAGAGAGAGAGAGAGAGAGAGAGAGAGAGAGAGAGAGAGAGAGATAGAGAGAGATAGAGAGAGAGGAGAGAGAGAGAGCGAGAGAGATATATAGATGAGTGCTAGAAGCAAGAAAAAACGCAGCACGCCACCGACTCCTATAATAAGGATACCGGTGGTATGTGGTCGCGTGTACTCTCGAGAGAGATCTGAGCTGATAGAGAGGCTAGAGAGAGAAGCACAGTGGCAGAATACCTGGCCACTGTGACTGACTCAAACTTAAGGAAAGCTTTGACTATGTACAGACTCTCAAGAGAAAACAGGCTATGTGGACACTGCCCACAAAATGAGGTGGAAACCGAGCTGCACTTACTAACCTATGACCATATTAGAGACACGTATTTCCCTCAGACTACACAGATCCACAAAGAATTCGAAAACAAACCCAATTTTGATAAACTCCCATATCTGTTGGGTGAAATACCACAGTGTGCCATCACAGCGACAAGATTGGTGACCTGTTGCCACAAGAAAAGGGCTACCAGTGAAGAACAAACACCATTGTAAATACAACCCATATTTATGTTTATTTATTTTCCCTTTTGTGCTTTAACTATTTGCACATAATATGGTTTGTTTACTGTTCATTTTTATTGTTCATTTCACTTGCTTTGACAATGTTAACATATGTTTCCCATGCCAATAAAGCCCTTAAATTGAAATTAATTGAAATTGAGAGAGAGAGATAGAGATAGAGAGAGAAGAAGAAGAAGAAGAAGAAGCAGAAGAAGAAGAAGAAGAAGAAGAAGAAGAAGAAGAAGAAGAAGAAGAAGAAGAAGAAGAAGAAGAAGAAGAAGAAGAAGAAGAAGAGAGAGGGGGGGGGGGGGGGGGGAGAGAGAGACAGGGAGGGGGATTCAAGGCCTTCATGTGAAAGGTATAATTCAGGTTGATCCACTAAGTTGGAGTGAATCTGCTGGTGTAGCTCACTGATCTGTAGGCTATTTAGAAAAGCAGAGCTTAGCCAGTCCCCTGCCCCAGATACAGGTTCAATAGGATTTACTGTATAGGTGTAAATCTGACAACTGTGACACCATGTTATTATTTTTGTTTTCTGTTATCTTCTAGGGGCGGCAGGTAGCTAAGTGGTTAAGAGCGTTGTGCCAGTAACCGAAAGGTTGCTGGTTCTAATCCCTGAGCTGACTAGGTGAAAAATCTGTCGATGTGCCCTTGAGCAAGGCACTTAACCCTAATTGCTCCTGTAAGTCGCTCTGGATAAGAGCGTCTGCTAAATGACTGTAATGTAAATGTAAAAAAATGTGCAGCACATATACAGTAGCTTTATTATTTACACACACGTTCACAAGCATACACACAGGTCATACCAGTCCACTGTATGAAAACTATCCCTTCATATACACAAAAAAGGAATGTTGATAAATGAATTATAATAAATACATGAGCCTAAAATGTAGGACATGGGCTACTGTTGACTTGGCCTCAGAAGAACATAATATTTTTTTGTAATTAAAAGTGGTGATGTACAGTGTGACATAACAACAGCATAGAAATAGAATGAACAACAACGGGTACAATATCCGTCACACTCTGTTCGGATGGTCTCTTGCGTTAAACAATGTACCATCCAATCAGATGCCTCAGTTTGGAGAAACACGGCCTGGGCGGGACGTCACACCAGCCGCTCTAGTCATCTACTGGTCGATGGGCACTGAGCCCATGATTTGCCGACCAATCACAGGCGTTATTCGATCTGACGACTTTTTTTCGGGACAAGGGGGCGGGCTGCTCTATAGCTCAGCGACTCAACGTTTGAATGGAGAAAATATTGCCAGGTTTAAAGCGCACCTGGCTGAATAAGCACACGATACAAGCAAGCATCCTCGGCGTACGTGTGGTCAAAGAGAAGACATGGATATCGTAAAATCGTTAGGACACCCGGAGGAAATATTCAACCTGTTCAAGTTTAAAATGGGGGGCTGTCGCACTGTGATGCCCAAGTTGGACTATGTGAGTAGCTATCTGCTCTAAACCCCTCGATTATTGCCTACCTGTAGCCTAGGCTACTGCACGACTCGTTATTGTCGTTTCTTATACATTTTGGAATAGCATAGGCCTACACAACATAATGTGCGCGCTACCAGTGCTAGTCTGTATCCATGCATCTCTTCAACATTGGCCCACTTAAATTTTCAACACCACAATGCTTCTGGTTTCATCAAATGTGTAGACGCCTTCTACAGGAGCAATGGTACAGTAGTAACAGTATGCTATAGGTTACCTAGTCAACTAACTACCTGAATGAACTAGAAGTGTAGCCTATTCTAACTCTATTTCGCACAACAATGTTTGTATTGTGTGGGCCTAGAATAAATAATAGATGCGCAGTTCTGGCTAGAGAGAAGGATAACCATTGACTTTATGGCTGGGATTTACGTTATATAATAGGCTTTGTGGGTTCATTCCGGGAGGAGATGCTGTGTGCATGTTTGTTTGACAGCGCAGGTAATGCCTGATTTCCGACACTTTAAACACCGCTTTGACCTGGAATGATGATAGTTGAATGTAGGATTTCCCTTTATGATGGATGAATGGCACTATCATAACGTTATAGCCAAATTGAGAGTATTTTATGCCGAGAGCTAGCTTTGAAATAAGACACTTCAGGTGTCAATTAAAGGGGGCGATGTTCTGGAATAAAGAGTCCAGTTACGCGCGAAAATGTGAAAGCGCGTGGTGGCTTCCCTTGGCTAGTGCAAGATGGTGTGCGCCTGAGATCAGAGCAGCCTGCCAGTCGACGATAGGCTTAATGCAGGGTTCATCTACAAGATTCAGCCGCGGGATGATTTTTTCTTGAACGGATGGTCAGTGGCCAGAACATAATTACAAATAATTTGCTAACTGCAAATTGACCGCAAGAAGCCCAAACGGATATAATATTTAACTAAATCACAATCATTTCAAACCTTGCTTACATTTGTATAAGATCACATACTGTATATCTCTCTATTATGCGTGAGAATACTTTGTAACAGATTTCCAAAATTAAAATCACTTGGAGCTGATTAGCTGGTCTTTTATGTCCAACAATAAAATCATTATATATATATATTTATTTATTTGCTCAGAAAACTTGGGGGCCCGCGGGCCGCCAGTTGGGGAACCCTGGCATAATGTAAGCACTTTATGTTTTTACTACTGTCTGCCACTAGATGACAGTACAGCATCATCTGTCAGTCAGCTCAACTTTTCCCCATGTTCATGCCTTTTGCAATGTTGAGAAAATTGTTAGAGGAAATTGTAGGCAAGCAACTTCTTATGAGTCAGTGGGTTGGCCAAATTAGCCTACGCAATTCAAAATACGATTGCAGAGAGAAACACATAGGCTTACACAATAAAACGTTAATTATGTGTGAAAAATGTGCATGATCATTATTTTAGGGAATTGATAGGTCTGTGTCCAAGGTTTAGCAAACATGGCGTATAGTGTGTTACAGTTGTTAGGGGTACTGCTTGCTCTTTTCCAGTTTTCATGCAAGGAGGGCTAAGTTATAGAAAACACTGCTGTGTTATAACTGAAGTGGGAGGGGCTCCGATGTCAAACTGCGCCACAGCCTGGTGCGACCGTGGACAAATTCTTCGAAGTATGTGGATGGATTTATTACTCTGGTCTGGAGACTGAATAGGCCGTGGGACTTGTTTAAAGATCACCGACTGACCCCGCCCTGTAAAGTCTATAACTTCCTAAAGTTTTTACCCCGCGTCCTCTGCTGAACTGCGAGCACGAATGAATACCACGGATATTAATAACTGGATAGCCAACAATCTTGTCTAAATTGCTCATGGAAGGCTGAGCGTCCATTTTCCTCATATGGCCGGAGCTTGCTGCAAGTGTCCGGTCTCTCTCACGGTGTTCAAGCGCTCTCTCTGCGTCACCCCGCGGAGCCCTGGACCCGCTTCACGGTCCCTCCTCTCCGGGGGACGGCTGGGCGAGAGGGGCGTGCAGGAGGGATGTTGGGCCGCCCGCCCCAGCGCTTTGCGGACAGTAGGCTCTTACCGACACCCCGTGTTTCTCTGTTTCTCTTGCCAGGAATCCATGAGTGAGAGCCTGCGGACATGCTACCTCTATCTGAACCAGACCAGTCGCAGTTTCGCCGCTGTTATCCAGGCGCTAGACGGAGAGTTACGGTAAGTTTGCGTAACCTTGCCAACTTTGCTCTCCGACCATGCCATGCAGGTAAGGGGTGTGTCTCCAGCATGTTGAAGTAAACAAGGAACCATGACAGCTGAATGTCAGCACTTTGGCAAATACACGACAAAAATGTGATAGGCTATTGGAACTTGGAGGATTTTAGGGTATTATTATTGACCCAGGAACAATGGTCAGTTTTGACCTTGAGTTCACTTATTTACCCCTTTAAATCTTGAAAACAAACTGATTTTAAAATGACAGAAAATAGTCTAAACTTGCCTAAAAGTGGTAAACGTATAGACAAGTGTACAAGCTGTAGGCAAGTTGTAGGGCACTACTGTAACTGAACTGATTTGCTGTTGGTGGAATTCAACATAACTGCTTATAATTATATTAGAGCCAGCCATATTCCCATGCAGCAGCACTGTGTCTATTTTAATCCCACCGTTCAGTTTACAGAAGTGACACAGCTGGTTTTAAGTACAAATTGTGTGTGTGTATCTATGTTTGTGTGTGTTCTGAAAGGTTGCTTACAGGTTTTTACAGCTGTCATTCAAATGGCATGAGGTTTCCCTACACAGAGGACCTACAGTAGCTAGTTCACACTTTGTTGAGACATGAGTCCCTGCAGTAAAATGAATTAAGCTTCATACCATACATGTACATCACATGTCAAGTGTTACATTAAAGTTCAATATTAGTGTCAGCGCTTTCCCGCATGCCGGTGTTGGTGTCAGCCTTTTTCTGCTCACTCTGTAATAGTTAGGTTTTCAGTGAGCAGGTCCTAACCTTTTCAACGCAAATGAAACACTCACATTGATATTTGTATTGAAATCAATGGAACCATGATGACGAGAAACAATTCTGGGCTCTTCCTACAAACATCTCTAGCCTAAATACCACACACGGATTTGAGAGTCAAATTACCCCTGTTGCTATTTAGAAATCGATGTGAGAATATGATTTGCCGAAGTTAACCAGTAGAAAATGTCTTAACCAGTACTGGTTAACTTTGGCTAATCATATTTTCACAACAATTTCTAAAGTGACAGGGGTTGGCACTAATTTGTGTGATAGTGTGACCCTCAAATCCGTGTGTGGTATTGAGGCCAGAGATGTTTTTTGGAGGAGGAGCCCCCAAATTTTTCTTGCCACTGTGGTCTAGAAAATGACAGGCGTGTTCTAATGCTGCATTCATAACCAAGTGGGAAGGTAGATATTAATTGTTGTGAAGTCATAAATACCAGTCGGATGCATTCACGTGTTTTGAACTCGTTGAGAAATGCAGATTGGCTAATGGCCAACAAACTGCGTCAACTATAAATTATAGTACATCTATCATGCTCCTATTATAGTGTTAAAAAAACATATTAATAGATTGCTTTTTATAAATAATGTTTAGTTGTTGCATTGAACTGCCGAAAATGCTGTAATCGAGGTAATTTCCTTCGTAGGTGACGTCAGACGTCAGCGTGTGGGAGAAGTCGAAGCTCAGGGATGATAGGCGAGTTTCCCACTAGTAACTACCAGTTGGAGGGGCATTCAAGTGGATTTTTCCCAGTTGTATGTGGTAAATTCGACCTTCCCAATTGATTATGAACGCAGGGTAAGACCTGCCACCGAAAAGGCATTTGATAAAGTACGACTGGGGTTTATATATAAATGCCTGGAGCATTTCAATTTTGGTGAATCTCTTATAAAATTGGTCAAAATCATGTATAGTAACCCTAGGTGTAAAATAGTAAATAATGGCTATTTCTCAGAAAGTTTTAAACTGTCAAGAGGAGTGAAACAAGGTTGTCCACTATCGGCATATCTACAGTGGGGAAAAAAAGTATTTAGTCAGCCACCAATTGTGCAAGTTCTCCCACTTAAAAAGATGAGAGAGGCCTGTAATTTTCATCATAGGTACACGTCAACTATGACAGACAAAATGAGAAAAAAAATCCAGAAAATCACATTGTAGGATTTTTAATGGATTTATTTGCAAATTATGGTGGAAAATAAGTATTTGGTCAATGACAAAAGTTTCTCAATACTTTGTTATATACCCTTTGTTGGCAATGACACAGGTCAAACGTTTTCTGTAAGTCTTCACAAGGTTTTCACACACTGTTGCTGGTATTTTGGCCCATTCCTCCATGCAGATCTCCTCTAGAGCAGTGATGTTTTGGGGCTGTCGCTGGGCAACACGGACTTTCAACTCCCTCCAAAGATTTTCTATGGGGTTGAGATCTGGAGACTGGCTAGGCCACTCCAGGACCTTGAAATACTTCTTACGAAGCCACTCCTTCGTTGCCCGGGCGGTGTGTTTGGGATCATTGTCATGCTGAAAGACCCAGCCACGTTTCATCTTCAATGCCCTTGCTGATGGAAGGAGGTTTTCAATAAATACTATTGTGGCCATCGAGATGTTAGCTATTAAAATCAGATCCAACAATAATATCAGGGGATTAGAAATCCAGGGCTTAAAAACAAAGGTGTCATTGTACGCTGATGATTAATGTTTTCTTTTAAATCCACAACTAGAATCACTCCACAGCCTCATAGAGGATCTAGATACATTTTCTAACCTCTCTGGATTACAACCAAATTATGACAAATGTACTATATTACCTATTGGATCAATAAAAAATACAATTTTTACTTTGCCATGTAGTTTACCAATAAAATGGTCTGATGGTGATGTGGATATACTCGGAATACATATCCCAAAGGAAATAAATGATCTCACTTCAATAAATTATAATAGAAAGTTAGCAAAACTAGATAAGATCTTGCTACCATGGAAAGGTGGGTGCCTGTCAGTTTGTGGAAAAATCACCCTGATTAACTTTTTAGTATCATCCCAGTTTACCTATTTGCTTATGGTCTTGCCTATGCCTAGCGAACAGTTTTTTTAATTATATGAGAAAAAAATATTCCATTTTATTTGGAACGGCAAGGCAGACAAAATTAAACGGGCCTATTTATATAATGAATATGAATTCGGAGGACAGAAATTATTAAATATTAAAACATTAGACCTATCACTTAAAGCTTCAGTCATACAAAAGTTATATTTAAATCCGAACTGGTTCTCTAGCAAATTAGTAAGATTGTCTCACCCAATGTTCAAGAATGGCATTTTTGCCTTTATTCAGATTACAACCACACACTTTCAGTTATTTGAAAAGGAAATAATCTCCCAGATATCACTATTTCTAAAACAAGCCATAGAAAGTTGGTTGCAATTTCAATTTAATCCTCCAGAAACGACAGAACAAATAATGCAACACATATTGTGGTTAAACTCAAATATACTAATTGACAAAAAAACTTTTTTTTTTGACAAAATGTTTAAAAAAGCTATAATCTTTGTAAATGATATAATCGGTAGGACTGGTGGAGTTATGTCGCACATGCAGCTAACAAAAACATATGGAAATGTCTGCTCTACCCAAAATTACAACCAAATAATTGCAGCCTTACTGCAAAAATGGAAGAGGAAAGTGGAAGGAGGAGAAAGTAAGGAACTTGTCTGTCGGCCTTGCATTAAAGAACATAAATGATAAATAAAAAGGTATATCAGTTTCATTTAAGGACCAAGGCATTGACAGCCGTCCCATAAAGATTGCAAAATAGTTGGGAAGAGATTTTTGACGTACCGATCCCATGGCATAGTGTTTATGAACTGATACGCAAAATGACACCGGATTCAAAACATATAATCTTTTAATTTAAAATATTATATAAAATTCTTGCTACCAATAGAATGTTATTTATATGGGGGATACAATCTTCCAAGCTCTGCAGATTTTGCTGCGAAGAGACAGAATCATTAGATCATTTGTTTTGGTACTGTCCATTTGTAGCTTGTTTTTGGACACAGGTCCAGGAATGGCTAAAGGATTGCAATATTTACCTGGAGCTAACCCTGCAGATAGCACTACTGGGTGATCTGAAAAGTCATAGTCAATCGATCAATAACATAATAATACTATTAGCAAAAATGTTTATTTTCAATTCACAATCTGTAGAAACAATGAGAATAGAAAGGTTCAGAACTTTTGTAAGACATCACAGTACAGTTGAAATATATATGGCAAATAGAAATCCTATATGGATGGTGTTAAAAGATAGATGGGAGGTGTTGAATGGAATTGAAGGATGGGACTAATAACAACTAACAACAAACAATAACAAGATAACTAATAATGTAGGCACGCTGTGTCCATAATAAGTGTATGGGTTGTAGATTGGGAGCTTTTGTGAAGGAGCACAGTTAGAAAGATATGACATATAGAAGCAAACCGGATGGACATCATGAAAATGATCAAAGAGGTTGAGAGTAGAAGAAGTTCAGGAGAAAGAACAAACAAAATATAATGACTGTAAAATTGACTGTGTCCATAAAATGTAGATAGTGGGTATGGGCTGGAAGTAGAGGCCTAGGCGTTGTTGTTCACTAGTTTACTTCAAGTGGGGAACGGGTGGCGGGGTTGGAAAGTAATAAAGGGGAATATATATATTTTTTAAAGGATATGTGTGTGTATGTATATATATATTAACATGGGGGATTGGAAGTGATGCAGACAATTACATTGATAGAAGTTACAATCTATCTGCAATATTAAGCTGATCCATTCCCCCCCCCCCCCCCCCCCCAAAATAAAAAAGACCTGCCACTGACAGGCAAGCAATCGATGTTGTGTAATTGTGATTACTGTAAACATTTATACTATCATCACCAATCTGAGGTGAAAAGGATGTTTATTTCCTGTAAATATTGTGTGGTGAAAATCTTAGTCTGTGTAATGTAGTAACACGTTCTGTCCACCATAGGGAAATTAGCGTAATATAAAATAATTCAATATGTCAAACTAATTCAATATTTCGATTTAGGATGATAGTAAATTAAGCACACTCATAGATTTTTACATACATTTCTTACTACTTTAACCATGGAGAGAGTTAAAAAAATACTCCTAAACACAATTTCACCGAGCGCTCTAGACTAGAGCTTCAAATCAAATCACATTTTATCTGTCACATGCGCTGAATACAACAGGTGTAGTAGACCTTACCGTGAAATGCTTACTTACAAGCCCTTAACCAACAATGCAGTAAAAAAAAAAAAAGGGTTAAGAAAAGATTTACTAAATACAATTTAAAAGTAACAATAACAGGGTGTACTGGTATCGAATGCGCGGGGGTACAGGTTAGTCGAGGTAATTGAGGTAATAGGTACATGTAGGTAGGGGTAAAGTGACTATGCATAGATAATAAACAGCGAGTAGCAGCAGTGTAAAAAAAAGAAGCAACCTGAACCTTTGACGTCCCTAGTAAGGGGCGACGTGAACCTTTGATGTCCCTAGTAAGGGGCGACCTGAACCTTTGACGTCCCTAGTAAGTGGGGACTCTCCAGCCTGTCGAAGTAAGGAATCATGACACCAATGACAGCTGAATGGCAGCACTTTGGCACATGTCAGACAAAATTAGATATTGGAACTTGGAGGATTTTAGGTTATTTTTATTATTGACCCTGGAACATGTGATCAGTTTTGACCTTGAGTTCACTTCTTTACCGCTTTAAATCTTGAAAACAAACAGATTTTGATATGACAGTAAAATAGCCTAAACTACAAGTAACAAACATACAGTATAGACTGCAAGTGCACAAGCTGTAGGCAAGTTTTAGGGCAGGCCTGCGGTAAGTGAACTGATTTGTTGGTGTTGGAATTCAATGTAAACTGCTTGTATTACAGCCAGTCGTATTCCCATGCAGCAACATTAAGTCTAATCCCACCGTTCAGTTTACAGAAGTGACACAGGTTTTTACAGATGCCATTCAAATGGCATGCCGTTTCCCTACACAGAGGACCTACAGTAGCTAGTTCACACACAAGTCCCTGCAGTAAAATGAATTAAACTTCATACCAAACATCACATGTCAAGTGTTACATTAAAGTTCGATATTGGTGTCTGTCAGCTCCTTCCTGCATGCCCAGGGTTGGTGTCAGCCCTTGCCTGCTCACTCTGTAACGGTTAGGTTTTCAGTGAGAAGGTCCTAATCTTCTCAAAGAAGTGAATTCTTCCCCTGTCCCTTCTTTTTGTCCAGGCATGCGGTTTGTATCTTCTACCTGGTCCTACGGGCCCTTGACACGGTGGAAGATGATATGACCATCCCTCTGGAGAAGAAGGTGCCAATGCTGAATGACTTCCACACCTACCTTTACCAGGCCAACTGGTGTTTCACTGAGAGCCACGAGAAGGACAGGCAGGTCCTGGAAGACTTCCCAACGGTCAGTGGAACCCCTGACACCACTGCGTACTATATAACCCTACATAAAGTGTAAAAAACTGTTGGTCGCTAAATCCGTCAAAGACTAGGAACATGTATAAACGGCTATCTGGAGCTCGTCTGAGGGGTTGGCTTCTGAGTTGTCACCACTAGTTACTTAAAACTGATTCAGTTAGATCTGCAAACTATAGTGTTGTCTGGTTAGAACATTATGTTGAGGCCCATTACTTTAGACTTTTTCACCACCACATGCGGACACAGCTGCTTCCATTAGAGGTATTTTATGTGGTTCTAAAAAGGGAGAAACACTACAATCTTGAGGACCCATTACAAGAAACTAAGATAAACACACATGCAATAATATACAAAGGTAGAGAGATGTGTAAACATGACATAATATAAGCATACTGGTGATTGCAATGATATTAACAGGGATATTTACACACTAGTGCTAAATCTTATTTAGCAGGCCTTTGGTGGCACTATCATAAATAATCACTGCATGCGTGGGTGCCCAGAAGGGACTGGAACCTTCTAGATGCTTCCAGAATCTCTATACTGACTTGCGCAAATCACTACAGCAGTATGTAGGCTATAAACATTGCAGCGATAGCATACAACAATACACACTGGCAATACAATAAGGACCAGGCCTATTGGCATTCTATAAAAGCACATAGCAATGAAAACCACACTGATAGAAAATAGCATGCACGGTGTGCATACAAACATTCCTCTCTAATCCAAACCAACAGTAGAGCTAGCAGCTGAAGGCTAGAAAACAACACTAACTTATCTTATCTACAAAGTTACACTGCACGATAAGGTAACCATAACTCACTTACACTGAGTATACCAAACATTAGGAACACCTTCCTAATATTGAGTTGAACCTCCCCCCTTTTGCCCTCAGAACAACCTGGATTCGTCAGGGCATGAACTCTACAAGGTGTCTAAAGCGTTCCACAGGAATGCTGGCCCATGTTGACTCCAATGCTTCCCACAGTTATGTTAAGTTGGCTGGATGTCCTTTGGGTGGTGGACCATTCCCGAATACACATGGAAAACTGTTGAGCGTGAAAAACCCAGCAGCATTGCAGATCATGACACACTCAAACTTGTGTGCTTGGCACCTACTACCATACCCTGTTCAAAGGCACTTAAACCTTTTATCTTGCCCATTCACCCTCTGAATGGCACACATACACAATCCATGTCTTAATTGTCTCATGGCTCAGAAATCCTTCTTTAACCTGTCTCTGCCCCTTCATCTACACTGACCTGAAGTGAATTTAACAAGTGACATCAATAAGGGATCATAGCTTTCACCTGGATTCACCTGGTCAGTCTATGTCAAGGAAACAGCAGGTGTTCTTAATGTTTTGTATGCTCAGTGTATATTACACCCAATAGCATTTCCAACACTTACTTGTCAATGGATGCACAACACCTCAGATAGGAACAGCATGTGAAAGTCTGTCAGCAACACAACTATTTGCTTCTTCTTTTGCAATGGAAAAACATGCACTAACTAAAGGTGAGCGGAGCCAGTGTCCTGCAGTGCATCGAAGCTCCCTGATTGGTTGGATGAATAGAGGTCTGAAGGGTGATTGACAGGGCTACAGGCCAGTCCGGTTGAATGAGCCTGCCTTTTTTACATAAGGATTACATAACACTGTCATAACAATGAAATATGTAACAGACATCATACAATGGGCATCATCATGCTTTGTGTGTGTATTTAAATTAATCTATTTTCTGTTCAGATTTCCTTGGAGTTCAGGAACCTGGGTCAGGCATACCAGGATGTGATCTCAGATATCTGCCACCGCATGGGAGTCGGAATGGCTGAGTTTCTGGAGAAGAAAGTGGGCTCCATGAAGGAGTGGGACCAGGTAAATGTTACCTTAACATTAGGCAAGCATTATACAAGTGTTAGACTAACAGCTCCACATTAGCTGGTTAGTAACCTAGTAGGGCTGGGAATTCCCAGGGACCTCACAATACGATATTATTACGATACTTAGGTGGCGATACGAAATGTTTTGCGATTCTCACGATTCTATATGTATTGAGATTTGATACTGTGATTTAATTGCGATTCGATGTTCCAAACATTGCTCACCAAATGTCTGCTGCAGAGACGAGATAGCATTTCATCTGTCATGGAAATAAAAGTGTAAACAAAACAAAACAAATTTGCTCCCTATTTAAAAAGATGGAGAACAAGCTATGAAGGAAAAATACTGGAGTTTTGGTGCAGGTACAGCCAACTAGCGCAAAAATAATATTGTGTGATATTGTCAAAACGATAGGATACCATATATTGTCAAATAATCTCCCGATCTGTAACTGTATCGACCCCCCCCCCCCCCCCCCATCACTATAGCCTAGTGGTAGCCTGAGGTGTATCTAATGACAAATGATAGCTTGATGCTACATGAAAGTCACTTAAACCCACTGATTTCTTCACTTCACACCAGTCTGTAATAGATTTTTGAGTGCTGAATACATGTGTATTAACATTACCCCCCCCCACCCCCCTCCTCTCTCACTGTGCAGTACTGTCATTATGTGGCAGGGCTGGTGGGTATAGGTCTGTCCCAGCTGTTCTCTGCCTCCCAGCTGGAGGACCCAGAGGTGGGCAGAGACACAGAGCTGGCCAACTCCATGGGCTTATTCCTCCAGAAGACCAACATCATCAGAGACTACCTGGAGGACATACAGGTGGCCAGGGCCTTCTGGCCACAAGAGGTAATTACACACTGTGTGTGTGTGTGTGTGTGTGTGTGTGTGTGTGTGTGTGTGGTTAATGTGTGTGTTGCATGTCCCTCTGAAGGCATGGAGTCAGTTTGCGTGTCGTCTGGAGGACCTGGCAGAGCCTGATCAGCTGACCTCAGCCCTGTCCTGTCTCAACCTGCTGGTGACAGACGCCCTGCGCCACGTCCCTGATGTAATCACCTACCTGGCACGCCTACGCAACCAGAGCGTCTTCAACTTCTGCGCCATACCACAGGTAAATGTTACCATTGAAATGTTACGTTTCAAAGTACATTCCCACTGGAGAAAGCTGCTAGTTACATTTCATATAACATGTTTTCATTCCTGGTTGTTTGAGTCAGGATCCTCAGGAAGTATTTTATTTTGCTGTACTGTATGTCTCAATGTTGTCCCCCTCCTGTCCAGGTGATGGCGATAGCGACCCTCTCAGCCTGTTACAACAACCCTCAGGTATTCCAGGGCGTGGTGAAAATCAGGAAGGGTCAGGCCGTCACCCTCATGATGCAAGCCACCAACATGGGCGCCGTGCAAAGCATCATGGCCCAGTACAGCCAGGAGGTGTGTGTGTGTGTGTGTGTGTCATGTATTCAAATGTGTTTGTTTGTGTTATTGTGCATCTGAGTGTGTGTTCTTACTTTATGTTTGTGTGTTTTCTGATCTCTCTCCATCTCTTGCTCTCTTTCTCTTTCTCTCTCGCTCTCTCTCTCTCTCCAGATGCTACAGAGGGTGTCCCTGACAGATCCATCCCGGGACAAAACCCTGTGTATCCTGGGTGCGATCCAGGAGAGGACTCTCTCCCAAGCCACCCTGGCCTCCCGGACTGCCCACCTCTCCCCCATGTACCTCTCCGCTGCCATGATCCTCGCCGCCCTCAGCTGGCAGTACCTAAGCACTACAGCCGGACAACCTCCAGGCACTGCTGACATGCAGGGCCATTGAGCCCACTCCACCCCCACTAACCCTCACCCTGCATGGGGTGCACGACTGAGATGGCCCCCTCTCTCCTGAGGCCTGGTTCTCCCTCTCCCCTGGAGGAATCTTACCCTCCCATTCACCTGTCCTGTTTAACTCACCTGTGATGGTCTGTAGAGGCCTATACTATGGGAGTCACTGGTAGCAGGGTTGTCTTATTGTGTTTGATAGTGATTTACAGTAGTCTTACTTTCCGTTACATTATTTTCAAACACCCATCATACTCACGTCAGATACACACGGCATCTGGCACATCTCCCTTCCTCAGTCGTTTTTTTGGCTTGTTTGAATGTTGATTTTTGTTATTTTGTAACCACAACCCTGGTTTTGTTTGTTAAATTTTTTCAACATGTTTTGAAAGGGAGAATACCAATAGAGCTATAATGGATTTCTATTTCAATTTTTTTTCAACATTCATTTGAAATGTGAATAGGATTGAGTAAAGTCTTGGACCCATCACACAAACTTAAAGCACACAGCTCACACACACGAACAGGACATTGAGATTAACAAACATCAACTAAACCATTGTGCATTTCTTATAGTCGGTTCTTTGTTGTTTCTTTTGTCTTGGTTTATAATGTTATTTTCAATAGCAACTGTAATGACAACACAATGGTTCTGTTTGATGTGTATTATGAGTGTCTGTCTGTCTCCATAGCAGGAACTAAGATGGCTGTACTCTGTTTATGTACAGTATAGCTACATATCGATACTGTTGTCACATTCAATCATAGAACTGGCACATCTCAATAGTCTAAAGTTGCCTCCTCACCTCGTCTTCTCTACCTCAACTGCACTGATCTGAAAAGACATAATAGCAAATATGAAACAATATGACAGAAGGCTAGCTTAGCTTTCATCTATATGTCTGTGTCTTTCTCATTGTGGACAAAGGAAAGGGGACAAGGAGAGGAAGCCACATTTTGTCTTTTGAGACATGCCCAGTGTAAGATTATACAGAGACTGGTAGAAGCGGGACTGCGGCAGAGCACATAGTAGCAGGCTGCTAAGTGTCCTTAACACAGAGCTTTGGTGAGTAGGAAGGCTAGTGTGGTGTATTCTTGTACACAACCAAAAGAGACTTATGCATATTTCTATGTAATGTGAGATTTTCATTTGTATATAATTGAAAAAAATAATAAAAGACAAAAAATTAAGTGTTTATGAATGTTAACTTTTCTGCCTCATCAGTGTCACAAAGATCAATGTTGGTAAGTTAACCCTGTTTTTTTGGAGATTGACTTTGCTGACAAGACAATGGATGATAGTTTTATAGTTTACAAACAATGAAATTGTACACTCATTAAAGACGAGCTCAAGTCATGCTAGTTCAAAGTCCTGGGGGAAAAGACAGCTAAAACAGTTTTCATTTATGTAAGACTGTACATTTTATTTCAAATATTTCATAACTCAAATTGAATGGAAGAAGGTGAATGCTTTTTTCTTACAGTTTTCCAACATTGGTTCAATGCAGACATAATTCCAGTGAGTACCTGATGCTCATTTACTTTGACTTTCATAAATGGTATCAATCCAAGGAAAACATTTTACAATCATAACTTTCAGGGCACTTGTTATCAACCTTGGAAAGAGCCCTGTTACAGAGGGTGTCCCTGACAGATCCGTCCCGGGAAAAACCCTGTGTATCCTGGGTGCGATCCAGGAGAGGACTCTCTCCCTGGCCTCCCGGACTGCCCACCTCTCTCCCCCATGTAGCTCTCCGCTGCCATGTTCCTCGCTGCCCTCAGCTGGCGATACCTGAGCACTACAGCTGGACAACCTCCAGGCACTGCCGACATGCAGGGCCATTGAGCCCACACCCTGCATGCGGTGCACAGACTGAGATGCTCCCCTCTCTCCTGAGGACTGGTTCTCCCTCTCCCCTGGAGGAATCTTAGCCTCACATTCACCTGTCCTGTTTAACTCACCTGTGGTGGTCTGTAGAGGCCTGTACTATGGGAGTCACTGGTAGCAGGGTTGTCTTATTGTGTTTGATAGTGATTTACAGTAGTCTTACTTTCCGTTACATTATTTTCAAACACCCATCATACTCACGTCAGATACACACGGCATCTGGCACATCTCCCTTCCTCATTTAGGTTTTTGGTTTGTTTTATATGTTGATTTGAGTTATTTTGTAACCACAACCCATTTATGTTACACTGTACATTCTATTTCAAACATTTCATAACTCAAATTGAATGGAAGAAGGTGAATGCTTTTTTCTTACAGTTTTCCAACATTGGTTCAATGCAGACATAATTCCAGTGAGTACCTGATGCTCATTAACTTTGACTTTCATAAATGGTATCAAACCAAGGAAAACATTTTACAATCATAACTTTTAGGGCACTTGTTATCAACCTTTGGAAATAGTCCTCGCCACAATCATGTGACATTTATGCCAGGGCAATAGACTGGACTGGTCATGTGAAAGTAATCCAGGCTCCTTTAAAACAGGAGAGTCTGCAGATATTCCGAATAAGAGAAGAACTGACAGACTGACTGATTGACTGTCTGAGGATCTTCTACCACACAAACCATACAGGTAGCTATAAGGGTTTGTTCTGGTTTGTTATTTTAACTGGGGATTTCTCTCTAGGTGCAAATATTTGTGAGGTAGACTTGTATTGGTATGAAAGAACGAGCCATAGTTTATTTGCCAGAGCCTATCACTGAAAGAAGAGGGAGGGTTTTTGCATTGATGTGCTATTATTAACTCTAGTATTTGCAATAGCGACACATGAAGGTTTTAAAGAGTGTTCATTTGACGTCAGAGGAATGATACAGTTTATACTGTAGTATCTGTCAAGTGTACTTATTACTAACAAATACTGTGTATAACATGTCAAAATATTTTTTAAAACTCTTAATACAACCTACTTTCAAGAAATAAACTTTAACATTTTGACTTACATTTTCTAAGTATACTGCTGATGTAAAAAGGGCTTTATGAATACATTTGATTGATTGATTGATACTGTAGGCCCTATTATATGATGTGATAAAAACAGTATTAGCTGTTGCTCTGAGTTACGTTGTGCCTAAGAACAGCCCTTAGCCATGGTATATTGACCATATACCACACTCCCTCGGGCCTAATTGCTTAATTATAAATCTGGTAAAAAATATATTTATATATATATATGTTTTCATTGTCACACACATTGGATAGGTGCAGTGAAATGTTTTTTTTTTACAGGGTCAGCCATAGTAAGGGCTGTATCCAGGCACTCCACTTTGGCCATATTTGCTTTAAACTGCACATTTTTCTCTCTGCACCATGGAGGTCGGTGCCCTGGGGCCCCAAATGAGGTTGTCCGGCCATGCCCCCTTCAGTCCTTATTGCTTAAATAGCCTGCAGTAAGGCCACTCATTTAAAGCTCTTGTTAATAAGTAACCATGGAGCTCGAGGTACATTTTCATTCTCACTTCCACCTCTGAAGCTCTAGTGGTCTACTGGGAGGAGGCTGCCTTGTGTCAGGTGCTGAGCTGTAACCTCAAACTCTATTCTTACTCAGTAGACAAAGAGTAGCCTACATCACGGGTTGAAAACCAGTAACTGATATTTTCCTAATTTTACCGAAGAAAGAATACTAAAGTTAAGGCATGTTGTCACCTGTCCACCTCCAGGATGTATCGTCTGTCCCTCCTGTGTCTGCTCTCGGCCCTGTCTGTCAGCTGGGCTAAGCCCCGCCTCCCTCTGCTGTCTCCTGAGATGGTTCAGTACATCAATAACGTAGACACCACATGGACGGTAAGGCCTACCAGTCCCTACTGTCATAGCAGATAGCAGATGATATAATGTTCTAATTATAGATAGATTGTAATAATCAAGCTCATTCAAATATAATGAATAACCGCAGTCTAAGCAAATGTTCTCTCTGAAATCTTTACACCTATCTTAATTTCTCCATATTCTCTCACTCCTCTATATCCCTATTGACTCTTTCCTTTTTTAAAATATATATCTCTCCAGGCTGGCCAGAACTTCCACAACATTGACATCAGTTATGTGAAGAGTTTGTGTGGAACCCTGCTGAAGGGACCCAGGCTGCCAGAGCTGTGAGTGTGTGTGTGTGTTTGTGTGTGTGTGTCTGTCTGTATGGATTGACCGAAATTGAACTAATTCATACCTTTCTCATATTAATGCCTCTCTACACATGCAGGCCAACTCAAGTTATCAAAGCCCAATCAATGTAATATTCACCTATAACTTGCTCCCTGGTTTACTTCCCAGCTTGTTCCCCTTCTCCCTCCACAGGGTGCAGTCTGATGAGGACATGATTCTGCCAGACAGCTTTGACGCACGGCTGCAGTGGCCCAACTGCCCCACCATCAAAGAGATCAGAGACCAGGGATCCTGTGGCTCCTGTTGGGTAAGACAGTGGATGGATGGAGAGAGGAATGGAGGAAAATATTAGGGAAAAAGAGGAGTAAGGAGGAGAATAGTAGCCTATAAAAGGGGCCTAACCACTGTGTTAGTGCGATAGGAGACAGGGATAGAGGAAAATAACTAATCTGAAAGCTCTATGAGGATTTGCCTAGTAGCTATGACTGAGTAGCTGTGCCCTCCTAAACCTTCTCTACCATGCGTTTTCAAACCACAGGCCTTTGGGGCAGCTGAGGCCATCTCCGACAGGTATTGTATCCATAGCAATGGCAAGGTCTCCGTGGAGATCTCAGCTGAGGACCTGTTGTCATGCTGTGATGCCTGTGGCATGGGGTGAGTGTGTGTTTGGCTTTTAGCATAGCAGGTTTAGCCTATGCTCATTATACACTGAGTGTACAAAACATTAAGGACACCTTCCTAATATTGAGTTGCACTTGCACCCCTCCCCTTTTTCCCACAGAACAGCCTCAATTCGTTGGGGCATGGACTCTACAAGGTGTCGAAAGCATTCCACAGGGATGCTGGCCCATGTTGACTCCAATGCTTCCCACAGCTGTGTCAAGTTGGCTGAATGTCCTTTGAATGGTGGACCATTCTTTATACACATGGGAAACTGTTGAGCGTGAAAAACCCAGCATCGTTGCAGTTCTTGACACAGTCAAACTGGTGTGCTTGGCACCTACTACCATACCCTGTTTCTTGCCCATTCACCCTCTGAATGGCACACATACACAATCCATGTCTCAATTGTCTCAAGGCTTAGAAATCCTACTTTAACCTGTCTCCTCCCCTTCATCTACACTGATTGAAGTGGGTTTAACAAGTGACATCAATAAAGGATCATAGCTTTCTCCTGGATTCACCTGGTCAGTCGATGTCATGGAAAGAGCAGGTGTTCTTAAGGTTTTGTACACTCAGTGTGTGCAATAGCTCATGATATCATGACATTGTAAGCAAGCTCACATGGCCATGTCTGAGGTGTGTGTGTGTGTAGGTGTATGGGGGGCTTCCCATCAGCTGCCTGGGACTACTGGGCTGAGTCTGGGCTGGTTACAGGGGGGCTCTACGGCTCCAATATAGGTGAGTTCTGGATGGCTCTGGTACTGTGAAACCTACAATATGGATACAATATAAATGTCAGCAGTATTTCTGGCTTTCTAGATGATTAAATTACGTCCTTATTGACTCTGTGTGTCTCATACAGGCTGCAGACCTTATAGCATCGCTCCGTGTGAGCATCACGTGAACGGAACCCGCCCCCCCTGCACAGGTGAGGGGGACACCCCTAAGTGTGTGTCTGAGTGCAACGCTGGATACACCCCCTCCTACGTGAAGGACAAACGCTTCGGTAAGAGACCTCACTGTGTACCACTGTCAAATAGCACCTCAGACTTACACAATGTTGTACGATTGTATATAAATGACTTCCAAGCTAAATCTGGTCTGTCACATGATCATAACCTCGCGTAATTGTCCATGAATTAGCGCAATAGCCTTCAGCTATGTTCTTGGCCTCAACTGCAATGGTGGAAAAAGTACCCAATTGTCAAACTTGAGTAAAAGTAAAGAAACCTTAATAGAAAATGACTCAAGTAAAAGTGAAAGTCACCCAGTAAAATACTATTTGACTAAAAGTTTTAAAAGTATTTCGTTTTCAATCTACTTACGTATCAAAAATAAAAGTATAAATAATTTCAAATTCCTTATATTAAGCAAACCAGATGGCACCATTTTCTTGTTTTTTTAAATTTACGGATAGCCTAGGGCACACTCCAACACTCAGACATAATTTACAAATGAAGCATTTGGGTTTAGTGAGTCTGCCAGATCAGAGGCAGTAGGGATGACCAAGGATGTTCTCTTTATAAGTGTGTGAATTGGACAATTTTTCTGTCCTGCTAAGCCTTCAAATTGTAACAAGTACTTTTTGTGTCAGGGAAAATGGGAATGTAGTGAAGTAAGCAGTACTTTAAAGTATTTTTAACATGGACTTTACACCACTTCTCAACTGTGTACCACCTCAGTGTGTTGGTGGTGTTGGTGCTGACCAATCTGTCGCCCCCTGTAGGAAAGCAAACGTACAGCGTTCCCTCAAAGGAACAGCAGATCATGACTGAGCTCTATAAGAACGGCCCGGTGGAGGCAGCCTTCTCCGTCTATGAGGACTTCCTCCTTTACAAGACAGGCGAGACTCTCTTTCGCTCTCTCACACATATCCACACAGAGGCGCAAGCACAGACACACACACACACTCCATAGAATATGCATGCACTCACAGATCTGACAAGTTCTGACAGGTTGTACATGCCCAAGGGGTCACTTTATCCCTGTCTTATGTTGCCAGGTGTGTACCAGCATGTGACTGGACAGATGCTAGGGGGTCATGCCATCAAGATCCTGGGCTGGGGGAAGGAGAACAACACCCCCTACTGGCTGGTTGCCAACTCCTGGAACACAGACTGGGGTGACAATGGTGAGGGTACCAAACAGCAGACACCATTGCGTACCACTGCCATTGTGACTCAATATTCTTCTTTTGCTTTGTATAGATGGACATTTTAATATCTTCATGTGTAATACTGTTGATGTGACATGCTGTATAATGTTATGCTATGATACTGTAGGCCTAATGTATGATCTGTATTGGTTCTCTTTGAAGGGTTCTTCAAGATCCTGCGGGGAAAGGATGAGTGTGGCATCGAATCAGAAATAGTGGCGGGGATACCCCGGCTTTAGAGTAATATTTTATGGCTGTGTTCAGAGGGTCCTCTCTATGGCCTATCTACCACCCTGCCTCCCAATTCAATTCAAAGCGAGGGTGTCCTGCATGATCCTCAGTATGGATGTCTGGCTTTCATAAATGATCCGTTTTAAATTGTAGATTAATTCTATGCTCTTAGGGTTGGTTTCCCAGACTCAGTTTACAACTAGTCCTGGACTAAAAGGCTATTTCAATGGAGATTCTACATTAACCATGCTTTTTACTAGGCTTAATCTGTGTATGTGAAACCAGCCTTCTATGACTGTAATATTAAAAAGTTACTCATAAACTGCTCATGTTGTTGAATTCCGCCTTAAAGTCGTCATTTTCACTGCTTTCTCTATATTTACTGGTGCAATATTCAACTTGGGTATTTCTTCAATGAGAAGCATTCATAAAAAGTGTAGAATACACAACAATTTAATATGTTGTTCATGTCATTAACACAGGAAATACAAATCAGGGCCTCAAATCCTGATTTGACCCTTAAGCCAAACAGTTGGGGGAGCAATTACCTGCCATCACCAATTCCTCACCCAATTGATCCCACTACCAATTACGGTATGACTGAGGAAGAAAAACCCAAAAGAAAGAATGGGAGGAGACAGGTTAAAGAAGGATTTTTAAGCCTTGAGACAATTGAGACATGGATTGTGTATGTGTGCCATTCAAAGGGTCAATGGGCAAGATAAAAGTTTAGTAGGTGCCAGGCGCACCAGTTTGAGTGTGTCAAGAACTGCAACACTGCTGGGTCTTTTATGCTCAACAGTTTCCTGTGTGTTTTAAGAATGGTCCACCACCTAAAGGACATCCAGACAACTTGACACAACTGTGGGAAGCATTGGAGTCAACATGGGCCAGCATCCCTGTGGAATGCTTTCGACACCTTGTAGAGTTCATGCACCGACGAATTGAGGCTGTTCCGAGGGCAAAAGGGGAGGGTGCAACTCAATATTAGGAAGGTGTTCCTAATGTTTTGTCCACTCAACACCATATGTATTTGGACAGTGAAGCTACATTTTTAAATGTGTATCTATGCTCCAGCATTTTGGATTTGAAATCAAATGTTTCGTATTTTTTATTTTAGGATATTTTCATACATATGTTTTACCGTTTAGAAATGAAAGCACATTATGTATCTAGTGCCCCCATTAGAAGAAGTATTGGGACAAATTCAATAATAATGCATTAAAATAGTCAAAGGTTTAGTATTTGGTCCCATATTCCTAGCATGAAATGACTTCATCAAGCTTGTGATTCTACAAACTCCTTCGATGGCAAACATTTTGTCCAATAGGAACTGAATGGTGAATGATGAATGGAGGCATTTTCTTTCTAAGTGTTTCTGAACATTTCTAAAATAATCCTAAAACTGCCATGTCCGTTTGCGATATAAACTTTAGACTACATTAATACACAATTTAATTTGGTGAAATACTTAGGACTTCAAAATGGAGGGACTATATACATAAAATGCTTTCATTTCTAAACGGTAAAAGAGATATGTGTGAAAATACCCTCAAATAAAAGGTGACACTCATAAAACATTTGATCTCAAATCAAAATGCTTGAGTATAGAGCCACATTTAAAATGTTCGCTTCACACTCCAAATACATACGTTGTTGAGTGTATGTACAGTTGAAGTCGACAGGGCGGCAGGTAGCTTAGTGGTTAAGAGTGTTGTGCCAGTAACCGAAAGGTCGCTGGTTCTAATCCCCGAGCCGACTAGGTGAAAAATCTGCGATGTGCCCTTGAGCAAGGCACTTATCCCTAATTGCTCCTGTAAGTCGCTCTGGATAAGAGCGTCTGCTAAATGACTAAAATGTAAGTCGGAAGTTTACATTCACTTAGGTTGGAGTCATTAAAACTCGCTTTTCAACCACTCCACATTTTTAAAAACCAATTTCTTGTTAACAAACTATAGTTTTGGCAAGTCGATTAGGACATCTACTTTGTGCACGACACAAGTAATGTTCCCAACAATTTATTACAGACAGATTATTTCACTTATAATTCACTGTATCACAATTCCAGTGGGTCAGACGTTTAAATACACTAAGTTGACTGTGCCTTTAAACAGCTTGGAAAATTCCAGAAAATGATGTCATGGCTTTAGAAGCTTCTGATAGGCTAATTGACATCATTTGAGTCAATTGGAGGTGTTCCAATGGATGTATTTCAAGGCCTACCTTCAAACTCAGTGCCTCTTTGCTTGACATCATGGGAAAATCAAAAGAAATCAGCCAAGACCTTAGAAAAAAATTGTAGACCTCCACAAGTCTGGTTCATCCTTGGGAGCAATTTCCAAATGCCTGAAGGTACCACGTTCATCTGTACAAACAATAGTATGCAAGTATAAACACCATGGGACCACGCAGCCGTCATACCGCTCAGGAAGGAGAGGCGTTCTGTCTCCTAGAGATGAACGTACTTTGGTGCGAAACATGCAAATCAATCCCAGAACAACAGCAAAGGACCTTGTGAAGATGCTGGAGGAAACAGGTACAAAAGTATCTATATCCACAGTAAAACGAGTCCTATATCGACATAACCTGAAAGGCCGCTCAGCAAGGAAGAAGCCACTGCTCCAAATCCGCCATAAAATAGACAGACTACGGTTTGGAACTACACATTGGGACAAAGATCGTACTTTTTGGAGAAATGTCCTCTGGTCTGATGAAACAAAAATAGAACTGTTTGGCCATAATGTCCATTGTTATGTTTGGAGGAAAAAGGGGGTACTTGCAAGCCGAAGAAAACCATCTGAACCGTGAAGCACGGGGGTGGCAGCATTATGCTTTGGGGGTGCTTTGCTGCAGGAGGGACTGGTACACAAAATAGATGGCATCATGAGGATGGAAAATTATGTGGATATATTGAAGCAACATCTCAAGACATCAGTCACGAAGTTAAAGCTTGGTCGCAAATGGGTCTTCCAAATGGACAATGACCCCAAGCATACTTCCAAAGTTGTGGCAAAATGGCTTAAGGACAACAAAGTCAAGGTATTGGAGTCGCCATCACAAAGCCCTGACCTCAATCCTATAGAAAATATGTGGGCATAACTGAAAAAGCGTGTGCGAGCAAGGAGGCCTACAAACCTGACTCAGTTACACCAGCTCTGTCAGGAGGAATGGGCCAACATTCACCCAACTTATTGTGGGAAGCTTGTGGAAGGCTACCCGAAACGTTTGACTCAAGTTAAACAATTTAAAGGCGATGCTACCAAATACTAATTGAGTGTATGTAAACTTCTGACCCACTGGGAATGTGATGAAAGAAAAAAAGCTGAAATAAATCATTCTCTCTACTATTATTCTGACATTTCACATTCTTCCAACAGGACAACGACCCTAAGCACACAGCCAAGACAACGCAGGAGTGGCTTTGGGACAAGTCTCTGAATGTCCTTGAGTGGCCCAGCCAGAGTCCGGATTTGAACCCGATCGAACATCTCTGGAGAGACCTGAAAATAGCTGTGGAGCGACCCTCCCCATCCAACCTGACAGAGCTTGAGAGGATCTGCAGAGAAGAATGGGAGAAACTCCCCAAATACAGGTGTGCCAAGCTTGGAGTGTCATACCCAATAAGACTCGAGGCTGTAATCGCTGCCAAAGGTGCTTCAACAAAGTACTGAGTAAGGGTCAGAATTAAAAAATTTTTAAACTGTTTTTGCTTTGTCATTATGGGGTATTGTGTGTAGATTGATGAGGGGAAAAAACTACTTAATTAATTTAAAAAGAAGGCTTTAACGTAACAAAATGTGGAAAAACTCGAGGGGTCTGAATACTCTCCGAATGCATTGTATGTAAGTACATATTTAATATATTTCAGGTGTTTATGTCTGAAGATGCACTCTGCGACGATAATGTCATTTTATGGTTATGCTAATTAGTAATTTATGCGTAAACTGCTACTGTGAGCTGGCTAGCTCTGTTTTGGTTGTCATCATTTTGGACATTTAACCCTGTATTTGTATAGCATAATGTCCCCTCAGTGCATCGTTTGTATGCCCTGCAATTGTATAGGTGTATGGTACAGCATTATATGGGTTTTACATTGTATTTCACTGTTTTAAAGGTATTCAAGTTCATTGTGCAGTTAGTTGTATGGGACTGGAATGATGACAGAACTATGTGAGTTTGTGGTTGCAAGTATGATTAGCAAATGTGACCGACCACCTCGATTCGGTCCATGTACTAAAATTAGATGTTTTTATTTACTTTTTACATAGGATAAAAGTAGAAACTCAGAGCTACAAAATGGTATATCATACACTGCAGTTAAGGAACAATGGGAAATTAATTCTGCTTTTAAATTTGATAAACTTGTAACCCCACTTTTGAGAAAATGGTCCTTGAATGTTTGGTAGACCTACTGGAGAGCTCTTCTTTCTCTACACCTATTTAGCATAATTCACACCCTCTTAAGCCCCACCCATCTCTTTAAGGATTCACATGTGAGGCCATGTGCTAAACAGGTAAGGTAGTATAGTAAACAACCAAAGATTTCAAGACTAAAAGTGGTGACAGTAGCCTACAATAAGGAAAAACTCCAGGTAAAAATACACTTTATCTAGCCCTTGGCCTATATCCTAATATCCTAATTAACCCTTGGCCTATATCTGACTTTGGTGCAAGTCATGTTGTTCTTCACATTACCTTCTCTGGTAAACACACACTATATCAAATAAAATTAAAGTTCATTTGTCACATGCACAGGAAACAGAAGGTGTAAACGATACAGTGAAATGGTTACTTGCATATTTGCATTCTATTTTTCTACCTTTATTTTTCATTAGTTTAACTTTCCCAATGCGAGGGAATTTGTCTGACAGCAGACCCTCTGAAAATCATTTCCCTGTTCCAAATGATCCATCTTCATGAAATTATTCATCAAATAGTCTTGTCTACTCCCTAGTTTTGTATGTATACCTATTACCTATGCATATAGATGATAAATTACCATTGCGCATTGTTTAGAGACAGGCTTTCAATTTTATGATCAGTGCGCTGGAAAATGGCTGCAGTTTGTGGATTATCATTTGGTACAACTTGTTTTCTATCAAGCCAAAGGAGGACACATGGAATTATTGATTTAGATGGTTGAATTTACAGAAAGGTAGGGCGATATTTTCTTGTCTCGTAAATTGATGAAAACAACAGTGCTTAGCCTACATCTCACCAGTGGAGGCTGCTGACGGGAGGACTCCTCATAGTAATGGCTGGAATGGCGCGAATGAAATGGCATGGAAACCATGTGTTTGATGTATTTGATACCATTCCACTTATTGCGCTCCAGCCATTACCACGAGCCCGTCACCCCCAATTAAGGTGCCACCAACCTCCTGTGCATCTCACAGTGCATAAAAGGTAATCTTGTGTGAGAGGCTACCTACACTGGTATAATCTTCACCGCAAATGTACTGCAAAATTCAGACATAAATACATCAGTGAATACATCAGCCTACACCATTTAGGAAATAGTTGTGACCAAGATATTCCTGATCGGGTTGAAGGTAATTTTTTTATGAATTAGATGAGCCTATCTTTGGTAGAGCGTGCGTGGCTCACCTCGCTCCCTCAGAGGCTCAGAAAGTTAAACAAACTGAGGTTTTTAGATTTTTCATGAATGCAACGCAAAGTAATATAACGTGTTACTTTCATGCAAAGTAATATTGTAAAGTAACAAGTTACTTTTGTTATATGTAACAAGTAATATGTAATATTACTTTTTCAAGTAACTAATTCTGCTGTAATGACACATGCATTACAGCAAGATACCTTTCCACCCAGTTACTTATCAAACATTAAACAGTCACTGGACTGGCATCTGCAGGGGTTGGAGGGCAGTATTCCTCATAAGTGTCGTCAACAGCTTGGAGAATGTGATGAACTGCACTCAGCAGCAGGATGTCAGTGTTGCAGCTCACAGACAGCTCACTGGAGTAGTTCTTCACTGGAAGCACATAGGACAGTGGCAAACCCACCACCTCTGCTGCCTTCTGCATCTGTGGCACAGCAGAACATAAGATAGAAGATAGATTGCAGATATAATGGTATTACAACACGTTAAACTACACCTAATCTTTTATAGTAGGCCTACCTTCTCCTGTAGGATCCGGCTGGAGTAGACAAACTTCACATCCTCTTGTACAGCATGACACACCTGGTCCACATGGGTCAACAGAACCACCTGGGGGATATCTGGATGGACAGGGTCATACAGATGTAGGATCTTAATTTGATCACTCTTTTGCTGCTGAGAAAGCAAACCTGTAGTGTATTTGAGTTTTAAAAAGGGTTCTAAATTTGGTAATTTCCACTTTGAAATTTCAGACTTGATTTGCCCTAACAAAAAATGTATCAAGCCCTACAAAAATGTGCATGAATTATAATCCACATAATAATTTACATTTCCTGCTGTAGCAAACTGGCTCAAATTAAGATCCAACATATGTATACAGTAGTCAATGTGTGTGTGTGTGTGTCTGAATTCACCTAGGCCTGAGATTTCAGCTTGAAGTGTCCTCAATGTCCTTGTAAGGTCCTCACTGGTGGTCATAACTTGGCAGGCATTCAGAACGAACACCGCACAATGGATTTGGTCATTTACCGATGGATTAGGTCTGTAACCTGAAGTCTCAGCTTTGATGGGCACATCACTTTGAAACTATTGAGTAGGACAACATCATTGTGTTGCCATTAGAAGCAAACAGAACAAATTAATTAATATTGTTGCGATCCAGTAATGAGCCACGTTATAATTCCCACCAAGTGGGTTAACCCTATTGACACAATGCATAGGATGTTTGAACCTGGGTTCGTGGCCCTGTCCCTCTGTTAGCTACAATGTGTGTATGTTGGTTACAAAGTGAATCATATGCATAACATGTTAATAATATAACATGTTCAGTAAAATATTACATGGATGTTCCTTTGATCTTTATCCCAAGCAAGGCTAGGAATCATCATGAAGACATTGCTACTCACAGAAAGAAAACAAATGCCGCCTACCTTGTGTCCCTCTGGGGCGTGTCCCTTGATGACAGTCAGTGCGTCTGTGAGGGTCAGGCCAGTCGTCTCACCTTCCCCCAGAGCCAACACATCACACAGGGTTAGAGCTGTGGGCTTCCCCCCTCTCTCTGACCGGATGTCATACGACTTCAGCTTGGTAGATAAAGAGAGGAGACAGTGTTTTGTAAGGGAGTTTTGTTAGAGACAAACTCAGACAACGACCACCAAAAAGACAGACATACAGTATATCCATAGATGAAAGGGGAGTATCTTTGGTATATATCCCTTCCCTCGCACCCACCCACAGGGCAGGTCCTCACATTCAGGGACACATTGATATGGCGGTCCAGATGTTCTCAAGCATGTATCTGTCTGTTACAAATGTTACTCCTTAGCTTTCTATCTCAGTCAAGGCATTATCAATCTTATATGCTAAAAACTCTTTGTTACAGACACTATACCTTCTTGATGAAGCCCTTTGTTGCAGTGCCAATAAAAGGCAGGAGAAGGACTCTTCCGAACATCACAGATCTGACAGAGTTGATGAAGCTGGATTTTCCTGACCCAGGAGGACCCATCAGCAGAACCCTGACTCGGTTCAGAGACTGGCAGGCCGGTTTGAAGGAGACCAGATTCTTCCTCAGTGACCCCCTCTCTCTGGTAAAATGAGATAGCACAGAAAGAGCCATAATATTACATCAGGCAGCCTGCAGACTGCTTTTAGGCCACCAATATTAAGCCACAGACTAGCCTCTACTGCTGTAGAACAGATTACTTTGGAATTGATAGATTCAGGAAATTCATTTCCAATGTGACCTACTTCTCAGTCCATGACAGCTCCCTCCAAGGGTTCAGCAGCACATCTCCAACACCTTGAACATAATAAGAACAAACAATTACACTAGGCCTAGACTACATTTTCAGAGAGTACATTTAATTCATCACATTGTATTGGGGCAGAATTACTTTGAATGCGATGCAACTCCACATCCATGAAGGGCACCTCCAACTCTTCACTCCAACCAGTGGGTGTGTAGGTATCATCTTCCTTCACATCAACACAAAGTGTTTTGTCCTTATTGTTGTAAATTTTTAGGCAATGCCCAAAGGCCAAGTTTTCATTATTATACTGATTATTAAAAATGATCGAATCGCGGTGCTTCACGACAGGAAATACGTTTGCTTTTTGATGGTCTATTTCGAAGACAAATGCCCCTTTGTCCTCTTGGAAATAGGATTCAGGTCGTTCACTCAGATAGCCCCCCTTCATCGTGCCTGATTCCAAATAAACGATTACAACGAATCTTCCCACTTTATCGAATTTAGAAATCAAATCAGACATCTTAAATCCATGGTGGCGCGCCGTGTAGAGCAGGTGAAGTCGGACAGGTTCGGGAAAAAACTTTAACAACTGTTTCTCTCTCCCCAAATCCAGTTCAGATACGGCCATGAAGAAATCAAGCGGAGATCACTAGCCTGCTACGAATGGAAACACAATATGTGCGCCTATTTCCAAAAGCAACCTAATGTCCGCACCGGAATCAATAATGTTCTGACTGTGGAATGGCCATATCCACATATGCCTAATTAACAGCCTATCGAAAGTGAAATGTTCCAGAAAAACGAAACTTATTGTAGACCAGCCCACTCACTGTCCACAAAAAAAGCTGCACGTAAAGGACCGGACATGATGGCATTGGTGCGGTGAGCAATGCGCAAACAGCTATTCTATTTTCCTGGTAGCCTAATATTTTATGAGTAGTAACAAGTTTAGTTTCTCTGAAACACTCTAGGCCTACTATTGATATGGTGCGTGTTCGTAGGCTATCCACTAACACCACTCAGAAACTTGGAATTATTTCATTTGCATAGCAGTAGTAGATTTCGTGAAGTCTTGTGACATCAAATGTTTTAATGTCTTCAGTAGTACCTGCATTGAGCTTCGAGCAAGAGACGTATTTGTTGAAGCTCCTTCCTGAACCTGCCCAACTTCACCTGCTCAACAAGGGTAGCCACCATAGGTTCTACATGCATACGTTGAGATCTAAATTTGACAAAGAAGGAAGATTTGTTGTAATATTGTATTTCAAATCTGGGGATGTAATGAGTAAATCGTCTGAGATTTACTCATTTGCCTTCGAAATAAACCATCAAGAAGTAACACACTTCCCTGTTCTGGATTACTCTAAGGCGACACATTTTTCAATCTCTTGTTCTAATGGTTGCTTGAAGTTTGGGGAATGTCTAATGTTGTACACCAAGAATAGAGAAATGTGCGTGAAATCGTTGGATATGATATATCACCAGAGTTGGCAGGGGCCGCAGTACCTGGATGTTGAGCTGTATCGAGTTGGAAGTAAATATATTTCTTGTACTGTTAATTGTTCTGATTATGCACTATTCATTTTATATTCAAGGTGCTTGGAGGGAGCTGTCATGAACTGAGGAATAGGTCACATTGTGAATTAATTTACGGAATTCATCAGGAGTATCACACATTAACTTTCAGCAGTCTGCTTCTGCTATGACTGTACTTGGTAGTCTAGAAACACTATTTGAAGGTTGTCTGATGCAGACCTGGGTTCAAATACTATTTAAAGTTTTTTCAATTACTTAAACATAGGCTACATTTCAAAGTACGTTTTAGGACAAATTTTCTTTGGAAAAATACAAGCTTGGAAATGTATTTGGAAATACACTTGGAAAGTATTGTAATGTATTTGAAAATACTCATACATTGACAAGTGTATTTTCAAAGACACATTTGTAGTTGAACCCGGGTATGTTTGGTGGTAGGGGTATTTGAAATATATTTGGAAACAAGTAGCCTATTTGAAAATAGATTCAAATAGTAATTATAGGAAATTATTTGCAAATACTTTCAAATACTACAAATATAATTAGTTGATTCGACCAAATTATTTGCAAATACATAGACAATAAGTAATTAAAATACAAATACTTAAATAAGCATGTCTTTGAACTAGGGCTGTCCCCAAAAAATTATATCAAGATAATCGCAGGTTTTGCTGTGATTTAATCTTGATTAATGGTAAATACCGTATTTGCTCAAATTGATCTGTTATTTATACTGACATCTTGATGTTGTCTAAAGTAACATTTACCAAATTAGGTAAATTGAGAAAGCACACCCCCTTTAACCTCAATGTCAACTTGTTTTTACATGGCATTGTTGATTTGAGCTGTATAGATTATCTATTTTGGAGGTTTAGAGTATTTCCAATGCTTTCAGACAATTAAGATTGCACTTAATTACAAAATGTTAACTCGAGTTATATGATTAACTCTGACAGCACTTAATTGAACCCAGTTCTGGTCTGATGTAATAGTATGTCTATTTCTGTGCTATTCCATTTCACCAGAGGGAGAGGGTCACTGAGGAAGAATCTGGTCTCCTTCAAACCGGCCTGCCAGTCTCTGAACCGGGTCAGGGTTCTGCTGATGGGTCCTGCTGGGTCAGGAAAATCCAGCTTCATCAACTCTGTCAGATCTGTGATGTTCGGAAGAGTCCTTCTCCTGCCTTTTATTGGAACTGCAACAAAGGGCTTCATCAAGAAGGTATAGCGTAAAGAATCTGTAAGAAGGAGTATTTAGCATGATACATACAGTGCCTAGTGAAGGTCTACACACCCCTTGCACAGTCTTCACATTTTACTGCCTTAAAATGTAATCTAAAAAGGGATCAAATCTTTTTTTTCCTGTCGATCTACACAACCTAGTCCACATTTTTATACTGAACTAAAATATAAAAAGTGTTTATCCCACGTTTCATTAGCTGAAATAAAATATCTCAGAAATGTTCCATACGCACAAAAAGCTGATATCTCTCAAATGTTGTGTACAAATTTGTTTACATCCCTGTCAGCGAGCATTTCTCCTTTGCCAAGAAAATCCATCTACCTGAAAGATGTGGCATATCAAGAAGCTGATTAAACAGCATGATCATTAAACAGGTGCAACTTGTGCTTGGGACAATAAAAGGCCACTCTAAAATGTGCAGTTTTGTCCCACAACACAATGCCACAGATGTCTCAAGTTTTGAGGGAGCATGCAATTGGAATGCTGACTGCATGAATGTCCACCAGAGCTGTTGGCAGATAATTTAATGTTCATTTCTCTACCATAAACCGCCTCAATCGTTGTTTTAGAGAATTTGGTATTATGTCCAACCGGCCTCACAACCGCCGACCACTTATAACCACGCCAGCCCAGGACCTCCACATCTGGCTTGTTCACCTGCGGGATGGTCTGAGACCAGCCTCCCAGATAGTTGATGAAACTGAGGAGTATTTCTGTCTGTAATAAAGCCCTTTTTTGGGGAAAAACTGATTCTGACTGGCTGGGCCTGGCTCCCCAGTGGGCGTGCCTGGCTCCCCAGGGGGTGTGCCTGGCCCCCAAGTGGGTGGGCCTATGCCCTCCCAGGCCCACCCATGGCTGCGCCCCTGCCCATTAATGTGAAATCCATAGATTAGGGCCTAATTTCATTTATTTCAATTGACTGATTTCCTTATATGAACTGTAACTCACTAAAATCGTTAATTGTTTCATGTTACGTTTATATTTTTGTTCATTATAATTTCCCAAATTACTAAGAAATGCAAAATGAGGATGCATTGATTGCTTATGTCTTCACACCCCAGAGTTAATACTTGGTGGAAGCACCTTTGGCAGCCTTTACATCTGTGAATCATTACATCAACCTTGTAGTGGCATCATGTTATGGGTATGCTTGTCATCTGCAGGGACTGGGGAGTTTGTCAGAATCAAAAGAAATATGAAAGAATCAAAGCCCAGGTAAAAAGTTCAAGGAACACCTGCCATTGTCTTCTGAAAACCTAACCCTGGGATAGTTTTATTTTCAGCGAGACACATATTGGCTTTCCAAGAGGTGGTGAGTGTTCGTGAGTGGTCTAGTCTCAGTCCTGACTTAAATTTGCTTGACAATCAGAGAAAAAGTTTGCATATTGCTGTCCATCAATGATTCCCAACCAAATTCACTGAGCTTGAGCAATTTTGACAAAAACAATGGACATACAGTGCCTTCAGAAAGTATTCATACCCCTTGACTTATTCCATATTTTGTTGTGTTACAGCCTAAATTTAAAATTGATTAACTGTATTTCTTTCTCCCCCATCTACACACGCATTGAAAACATGTTTTTAGACATTTTTGCTAATTTATTGAAAATGAAATTCAGAAATATTAAATTTACATAAGTATTCAGACCCATTACTCAGTACTTTGTTGAAGCACCTTTGGCAGCGATTACAGCCTCGAGTCTTCTTGGGTATGATGCTGCAAGCTTGGCACACCTGTATTTGGGGAGCTTCTCCCATTCTTCTCTGCAGATCCTCTCAAGCTCTGTCAGGTTGGATGGGGAGCGTCACTGCACAGCTATTTTCAGGTCTCCAGAGATGTTCGATCGGGTTCAAGTCCGGCTCTGGCTGGGCCTCAAGGACATTCAGAGACTTGTCCCAAAATTACTCCTGCGTTGTCTTGGCTGTGTGCTTAGGGCCGTTGTCCTGTTGGAAGGTGAACCTTCACCCCAGTCAGGTCATGAGTGCTCTGGAGCAGGTTTTCATCAAGTAGCTCTCTGTACTTTGCTCCGTTCATCTTTCCCTCGATCCTGACTAGTCTCCCAGTCCCTGCCACTGAAAAACATCCCCACAGCATGATGCTGCCACCACATGCTTCAGGGATGGTGCCTGGTTTCCTCTAGACGTGAAGCTTGGCATTCAGACCAAAGAGTTCAATCTTGGTTTCATCAGACCAGATAATCTTGTCTCTCATTGTCTGAGAGTCCTTTAGGTGGCTTTTGGCAAACTCCAAGAGGGACCTTACAATTATCTGTATGTGTGGGGTACAGAGATGAGGTAGTCATTAAAAAAGTATGTTAAACACTATTATTGCACACAGAGTGAGTCCATGCAACATGTTACTTGTTAAGCACATTTTTATTCCTGAACTTATTTAGGCTTGCATTACAAAGGGGTTACATACTTATTGATTCAAGACATTTCAGCTTTTCATTTTTTATGAATTAGTAAACATTTCTAAAAACATAATTCCACTTTTACATTACGGGGGATTGTGTGTGTAAATTCAGGCTGTAACACAACAACATGTGGGGAAAAGTCAAGGGGTGTGAATACGTTCTGAAGGCACTGTATGTTGCCCTAAGAGTTGTGCAAAGTTGTTAGAATATTATTCAAAATGATTTACAGCTGTAATGGCTGCCAAATGTGCTCCCACCAAGTATTAACTCTAAGGTGTGAAGACACAATTGAGACAACTTCATTCTTTTATTTTGAATTAATTTTGAAAAATGTCTAACTTTCACTTTGAAAATATGGTATAGGTTGTGTACATCTGTAGGGAAAAAAATCTAATTGAATCCCCTTTAATATTACATTTTAAGGCAGCAAAATGTGAAGACTGTGCAAGGGGTGTGTAGACTTTCACTAGCAACGTTAAGATACTGTAGATAATGCCTTGACTGAGATAGAAATCCAAGGAGTATAATTTGTAACAGACAGAGACATTCTTGATGCTTGGGAACATCTGGACTGCCATATCAATGTGTTTATGAGTGTGAGGACTCGACCTGAGGGTGGGTGGTGGGAGGGAATGGGTGTTCTGTATGTCTGTCTCTTTAGCAGTCGTCTGAGTTTGTCTAAAGAACTTACTCGCAAAACACTGTCTCCTCTCTCTTATCTACCAGCTGAAGTCGTATGACATCCGGTCAGAGAGCGGGGGGAAGCCCACAGCTCTGACCCTGTGTGATGTGTTGGCTCTGGGGGACGGTGAGACGACTGGCCTGACCCTCACAGACTTACTGGCTGTTATCAAGGGACACGCTCCCGAGGGACATGATGTATAGTATTACCTTTCCAAATGTAGCATTACGATCAAGATGTTCAAACCCCTCAGTCTTACTGAGGATAAATATCAGAAGAGATGGGCCTATATTGCTTGCTATGCTCTTGTCCACATTTGACACATGCAAACTTGTTGGCCTACTTTTTTAATGTATTTTATTGTTATAACCAACTTTGATATATATATATATATACAGTGGGGAGAACAAGTATTTGATACACTGCCGATTTTGCAGGTTTTCCTACTTACAAAGCATGTAGAGGTCTGTAATTTTTATCATAGGTACACTTCAACTGTGAGAGACAGAATCTAAAACAAAAATCCAGAAAATCACATTGTATGATTTTTAAGTAATTAATTTGCATTTTATTGCATGACATAAGTATTTGATCACCTACCAGTAAGAATTCCGGCTCTCACAGACAGGTTAGTTTTTCTTTAAGAAGCCCTCCTGTTCTCCACTCATTACCTGTATTAACTGCACCTGTTTGAACTCGTTACCTGTATAAAAGACACCTGTCCACACACTCAATCAAAGAGACTCCAACCTCTCCACAATGGCCAAGACCAGAGGGCTGTGTAAGGACATCAGGGATAAAATTATAGACCTGCACAAGGCTGGGATGGGCTACAGGACAATAGGCAAGCAGCTTGGTGAGAAGGTAACAACTGTTGGTGCAATTATTAGAAAATGGAAGAAGTTCAAGATGACGGTCAATCACCCTCAGTCTGGGGCTCCATGCAAGATCTCACCTCGTGGGGCATCAATGATCATGAGGAAGGTGAGGGATCAGCCCAGAACTACACGGCAGGACCTTGTCAATGACCTGAAGAGAGCTGGGACCACAGTCTCAAAGAAAACCATTAGTAACACACTATGCCTTCATGGATTAAAATCCTGCAGCACACGCAAGGTCCACCTGCTCAAGCCAGCGCATGTCCAGGCCCATCTTAAGTTTGCCAATGACCATCTGGATGATCCAAAGGAGGAATGGGAGTAGGTCATGTGGTCTGATGAGACAAAAATAGAGCTTTTTGGTCTAAACTCCACTCGCCATGTTTGGAGGAAGAAGAAGGATGAGTACAACCCCAAGAGCACCATCCCGACCGTGAAGCATGGAGGTGGAAACATCATTCTTTGGGGATGCTTTTCTGCAAAGGGGACAGGACGACTGCACCGTATTGAGGGGAGGATGGATGGGGCCATGTATCGCGAGATCTTGGCCAACAACCTCCTTCCCTCAGTAAGAGCATTGAAGATGGGTCGTGGCTGGGTCTTCCAGCATGACAACGACCCGAAACACACAGCCAGGGCAACTAAGGAGTGGCTCCGTAAGAAGCATCTCAAGGTCCTGGAGTGGCCTAGCCAGTCTCCAGACCTGAACCCAATAGAAAATCTTTGGAAGGAGCTGAAAGTCCGTATTGCCCAGCGACAGCCCCGAAACCTGAAGGATCTGGAGAAGGTCTGTATGGAGGAGTGGGCCAAAATCCCTGCTGCAGTGTGTGCAAACCTGGTCAAGACCTACAGGAAACGTATGATCTCTGTAATTGCAAACAAAGGTTTCTGTACCAAATATTAAGTTCTGCTTTTCTGATGTATCAAATACTTATGTCATGCAATAAAATGCAAATTAATTACTTGAAAATCATACAATGTGATTTTCTGGATTTTTGTTTTAGATTCCACCTCTCACAGTTGAAGTGTACCTATGATAAAAATTACAGACCTCTACATGCTTTGTAAATAGGAAAACCTGCAAAATCGGCAATGTATCAAATACTTGTTCTCCCCACTGTATATATATATATACACAGTGAGGGGAAAAAGTATTTGATCCCCTGCTGATTTTGTACGTTTTCCCACAGACAAAGAAATTATCAGTCTATAATTTTAATGGTTGGTTTATTTGAACAGTGAGAGACAGAATAACAACAACAAAAATCCAGAAAAACGCATGTCAAAAATGTTATTAATTGATTTGTATATTTGACGGTACATGGCCCCGTCCATCGTCCCTTTGATGCGGTGAAGTTGTCCTGTCCCTTTGGCAGAAAACACCCCCAAAGCATAATGTTTCCACCTCAATGTTTGACTGTGGGGATGGTGTTCTTGGGGTCATAGGCAGCATTCCTCCTCCTCCAAACACGGCGAGTTGTCATTGGCAAACTTCAGACAGGCCTGTATATGTGCTTTCTTGAGCAGGGGGACCTTGCGGGCACTGCAGGATTTCAGTCCTACACGGCGTAGTATGTTACCAATTGTTTTCTTGGTGACTATGGTCCCAGCTGTCTTGAGATCATTGACAAGATCCTCCCGTGTAGTTCTGGGCTGATTCCTCACCGTTCTCATGATCATTGCAACTCCACGAGGTGAGATCTTGCATGGAGCCCCAGGCCAAGGGAGATTGACAGTTATTTTGTGTTTCTTCCATTTGCGAATAATCGCACCAACTGTTGTCACCTTCTCACCAAGCTGCTTGGCGATGGTCTTGTAGCCCATTCCAGCCTTGTGTAGGTCTACAATCTTGTCCCTGACATCCTTGGAGAGCTCTTTGGTCTTGGCCATGGTGGAGAGTTTGGAATCTGATTGATTGATTGCTTCTGTGGACAGGTGTCTTTTATACAGGTAACAAACTGAGATTAGGAGCACTCCCTTTAAGAGTGTGCTCCTAATCTCAGCTCGTTACCTGTATAAAAGACACCTGTGAGACAGAAATCTTTCTGATTGAGAGGGGGTCAAATACTTATTTCCCTCATTAATAGGCAAATACATTTATAACATTTTTGACATTCGTTTTTCTGGATTTTTTTTGTTGTCATTCTGTCTCTCACTGTTCAAATAAACCTACCATTAAAATGATAGACTGATCATTTCTTTGTCAGAGGGCAAACGTACAAAATCAGCAGGGGATCAAATACTTTTTTCCCTCACTGTATATATACTAATGTACAGTATCTGTTTTGTTTGCTTCTCATCAATAAAATGATTCCCCAACACAATAGTTTCAAAGTTATGCGCCCATCAAAGCTGACGCTTTGAACACACCGACTGCGTCATTGCGTTTTGGTACACCAGAAGTACATTAATTTCCAATGGAACGCTGCGTTTGCCTTGCAGCATTGCATTGCAGAGGCAGTTGCAGTGCATTCTGTGTGGTGCATACTTTGGATTTATCGAACATATTTGTCAAACTGTATTCTTAAACGGGTTGACAGAAATGGTAGCAGAAGGTGAATGTTGAACTTTTGTTGCACACATATCTAGATGATGCTGCATACTATTTTGCGCAACGACTCAGTCGGCGTGTTCAAAGCGTGAGACCAGGTTACAGACCTGATCCATCGATAAATGACCAAATCCATTGTGCGATGTTCGTTCTGAATGCCTGCCAAATCATGTTCCCCAGTGAGGACCTTACAGAGACACTGAGGACACTTCAAGCTGAGATCGCATATCTGGGTGAGCTCATCCCAAAACTTCAGAGAGCAATTTTGATATCAGTTGATCATAGATATACCTAACTGATTTCTCTCTCTCTCTCTCACACTCCTTCACACACACACACACACACACACACACACACACACACACACACACACGACACCATCCTCTCCAGACATCCCCCAGGTGGTTCTGTTGACCCATGTGGACAAGGTGTGTCATGCCGTCCAAGAGGATGTGACGTTTGTCTACTCTATACGAATCCTACAGGAGAATGGTAGGTTAAATAATTCAAATGTTTTAATCAATTTAGATTCACTCTATAATATGATGAAACAGTATTTTTAAAGTTTTATTTGCAATCTATTTTCTATCTATCATATGTTCTGCTATGCCACAGTTGCAGAAGTCAGCAGAGGTGGTGGTTTTGCCAGTGTCCTATGTGCTTCCAGTAAAGAACCTCCACATTTGCAGAATTCCACCATAAGCCCAGTAACCTTTTAATATTTGACGAATAACCATTGGTGAGAAATAATTTGCAGTTTTTTTTATTGTGATAGGATAATGTTTTTTGTTTTCTTTTGGGTGTTTAATTTTGTTCCAGATGTTGGAACCTACGTGTTGTATGCTATTAGGCTTAAAAATAACAAATTAATTCAAGTGAGACAAAGTATTACATTTTAGTAATTTAGCAGACGCTCTTATCCAGAGCGACTTACAGTTAGTGAGTGCATACATTTTCATACTGCCCCCCCCCGTGCGAATCGAACCCACAACCCTGGCGTTGCAAGCGCCATGCTCTACCAACTGAGCTACACGGTGGGATGAATTTGTTTTTGTACAATAAACCAATGAGAAGATGACAATGTCTGTTTTTTATGTTGGCCTATTGTATACTTTGAAACAGTGGCGTGTATTCATGGATGCCAGGGGTTCTCTAGAAAATGTACAAAAAACATTATTATCTTTCGTCTCTGTGTTTCATAATTTTCCTTCAATTCGCAAGAGGCTGAATGTATCTCATAGGAGAAAGAATCAGAGCGATGAATCTGTCTGATGCTGTTTGGTCAAAAAGAGTATGATAATGTTGCCGCCAGTAGCATTAAATGCAAGGGAATCCAGCGAAAATGTGTCCTCCCTTTATATATTTTTATACAATAATAGCCTATCAGCGTTGAGCTAAACTGAGTGAGCTCAACTGTGAATGGTTCTGGCACACCAAAAAAAAGTGTCAAGGGAAGCCAGTTTGGATTTGGCTTCACACCAATCACATCACATCACATCAAGCCAAACGTCATTGACAGAACTTGAATTGTTGCAACTTGTTGTGCTGTTGTCCTCCGGTGGCTAGGTAGCTAGCTAAAATTGGCCCTTTCCTAAATTAGCCATGGACAGAGATAGGGATTTGGACTTGTGGTTTCACTTAATTCTAAGTACTGGCCAATGATTATAACGGCGATTCTGATCCAACCAGAAATTCATATATTGTGCCACTGGCCTGAGAGGATGGAAGTTCAATATGTAGGTAGATGTAGTAGGCTAAAGTTAGGAAAAGGGTTAGGTTTAGCTAAAAAAGAATAATAAAAAGGAACTTTATGTAAATTTGACAAAAGCTGGATCCCATCTAAACATGACCCTGTGCCCATGCACTCACAGACGCCATAATGCGACCGATACAATGTTATCTATATCATTCTCTATGGGCAGATATCAAAACTCTCCTGTGGTGGTATGTGTGGACCATGATAATTCCTTAGTGATGTGGATATCGGGCTGCTTTGGAGCACAGAGAGGCCTGAGCCCCTGATCCTGCCAGGATACAGCAGGATGGTATGGATGGCCCACATAGGGGGATTCACACTGGCTGTTTTAATAGAGCTTCAGTTGAGTAACATTACTCAAAATGTCCGTTGTAATTGCACCTGCATGAAAATCTTCATATGTGTCTTCTCTCTGATCGATACTTTTATTGTGCTCAATACTGATTGAGGGTCATTAGTGGCAATGCATTCTGGGATAGGTCATGGCCTCTCCCTCTTCAGTCTGCCACATAGAGCCCCACAGTGGAGGTGTCATAATACCCATAAAACCTAGCAGTCAAACAGGGAAGTTATGGTTTACATGGTTATCAAACGGTCACGCCAGGGTAAGCCTACACGAAACACAGCCCTTATTTTAAGTGTTTCTAAAATCCACTATGGGAAAATGTTATGGTGGAAAAAACGATTAGAACCATTTCCTTGTTTGACCGCTAGGGTTTATGGGTACTATGACTCATGCTGTGGTACTCTAACTCACCTGAGTTAGAATACCCCACGATAAGCTGCAGACCATACTATTTACCAAGACAGATTTAAATATATGTTTTGTAGTTGTCTATTTACCGCCACAAACCAATGCTGGCACTGACTGCACTCAAGGAGCTCTATAGCGCCATAAGCAAACAAGAAAATGTACATCCTTAGGCAGCGCTCCTAGTGGCCAGTGATTTTAATGCAGGGAAACTGAACTCAGGCTTACCTCATTTTTATCAGCATGTCACCTGTGGAACTAGAGGCGAAGAAAAACTCTAAATCACCTTAATTCCAGACACAGAAACGCTTACAAAGCCCTGTATTTGGCTAATCTGACTATAACTCTATCCTCCTGATTCCTGCTTACAAGCAAAAACTCAAACAGGAAGTACCAGTCTTTCTCTTTCTCTCAAGTGCATGCTGCCACCTACTGTGCTGGAATGTACAATCAATCATGATCTGCCCAATTCTGTACTACCGTGGAAATAAAATTCAAAACCAAATAAATCCCTACCTTCACCCAGAAGCACCAGCCCCGACAGTAGATCCACTTACTACAGGTACATCCATGTAAGCTCCATCAGTCTGCATTGTAGTTCTATCAATCTGTTTTACGGCCTCTGCATATGATACATCATGACTGATCCTATATCTCTGAGCCTCTCTAGCCTCTCTCTGTACCTGGCATCTACCAAATGCTTCACTGTGTTCTCCCCCACAATTACAGCATTTAACCACATTCACCGTAATCATGTGCCCCTCCACACTTGGCACATATTTTCTTTCCTTTACACTGAGCAGCTACATGTCCCATTCTTTGTCATTTAAAACACTGCAGTGCATATGGGACAAATTCTCTAACATTGAAACTAAGGAATCCTATCTGTACTTTTCCCGGCAAGACTTTCTCAAACCTCAGTATCACTAATAAGCTTTCACTTCTTTGACCCTCTTTCCTACTGATCAACCTATTGGCCTCAATCACTCTGCCTCCCTTCACATTTTCTTTAATTTCATCTGTGGACATAGATATTGGGACCCCAGTGATGACTCCCCTCAATGTAGCATACACACCAGGGACATGGCTTTTAATCTTCTTCCCATTAAGCTTTTCCATTTTCAGAATATTCTCTTGCTGAGCCTGGCTGTCACACAATATTAACAATCTACCATTTCCAATGAACCGAGCTAATTTCACTTCACCTACCTCTTTCTCTATGGCATTAGTTAGTCGGATAGGGTGTAAGTGAGGCCCTGTGGTCTCATCAAACACTATCACCACTTTCCACTCCGACACATCACTACTCTTACTTTCTACCTTGGCCCTCTTTATGCTTTCTTTACTAGACGCTCCACTGCTTTCTGTATCATGATCTCTCTTCTTCCTGTCTTTCCACTACCGACCATTCCCATCCTTGACCCTCATCATCCTGCTCCATACCATCAAAACTGACACCCATATTGTTCGCATTCCAGCACAGCTGTTGCTTCACCAACATTTTCTCAATTTCCTCCATTTCGTTCGCACTACTCGCCGCCATTTTCGACCTCTCGCCCCTTCGTCCCAATCGCCTCCTCTCCTCAATTATCTTTGACCTTTTTCAAAAGGAGGTGAGCGAGGACGGAGGAGAGAGGCGGAGGTGGTAGGTGTGGTGAAGTTCTCGGTGCCCAAGGCTTGCACCGAGGGTCAGGATAAAGTCTGTGACAATAGGAGTGAAGTTTTTGGAAAAAGTGGACCCTTGCCTTTTGGCTGATCCATTTGTGGTTTCAGGGTGGGTGCTGTGGAATCGGTGAGGGTAACCAGAAGTGGTCTTGTGATAATTGTTTGTGTTTCTGCTGGTCAGAGGGAGCAGGTGCTCTGTGTTAAACGAATGGGGGCAAGAGATGTGAATTGTTTTGCTCTCAAGAAAAGGGTGCCATTGAAAGGAGTGATTACTGGAGTAGCGATAAATGTGAAAGCTGACCAACTGAAGGGGAAGATTCACAGTGTTTGTGATGCTCGTCGTTTGGTGCAACGCAGACAGGGTGGCGTGAGTGGAGAAACAGAATAGTCATTGTCTGTTCTTTTGAGTTTTGATGTTGAGTCTTTGCCCGACAAAGTGATGTTAAGATATATAAGTTATCCTGTACGAGCTTTTGTGCCGAATACATTACGTTGTTACAGGTGTCAAGCTTATGGGCATGTGGCAGCAGTGTGTAGGAGGGAGGTTCCTAGGTGTGAGAAATGTGCAGAAGGGCATGAGACAAAGGAATATGTAGCATTGGGGAAAGTAGTGGTATGTGTTAATTGTAGGGGTGCCAAGGGGGCTGGGGATCAGAAATGTCCTGTGCGAGAGAGGCAGGTTGAGGTTCCCAGGGTTAGAGTAGTGCAGAAGTTGTCATATGCTGAGGCAGTGAAGAAAGTAGAGGAAGATGGGTCAAGCGGGAGGGATCCTGAGAGGAGTGGTGTGAGTAGTAGATCTGTACCAGTACAGAGGGATAAACCAGTAAGTGATATATGTTTCAGTAAGATTGGATTTTTGGCATTTATAGCAATGGTTATCAACTGTACTGCAGGGATGGAACATAAGTCGCAGAAAATAGAGGTTATGGTGGCAGCTGCAGAGAGGTATTTGGGTGTGCGAGACTTGACCAATCAGAAGAGTTACAGGGTTTCCCATTCTTTCAGGCTGTTGTCCTGAAGTAGGACTAAATAGATTGAAATAGTGGAGTATGGTATTTATTATTATTTGTTATGTTTTGTGAGTGTAGTGTTAGATGGTAGGGTATTAATATTATTATTATCATTTATTAATGTTTATTTTTATTTTTTAAGCAAAGTATAAGGGAGTTATACTCCAGTCTAGTGGGTGGCAGTAATGCAACATTTATTGGATGCCAACCGCCGTTAAACCTCATCGAAGAAGAAGAAGAGTGCCTGCATACAGCCCTTAGCCGTGGTATGTTGTCCATATACCACAAACCCCCGAGGTGCCTTATTGCTATTCTAAACTAGTTACCAACTTAATTAGTATGGAGGACTAAAAGTGCCACAATTAAATAAATAAATACACCATTAAATAATTACTTAAATGTGTCATTAATTAATTAAATGTGTCATTAATTAATTAAAATTAGAATTAAATACATAAATGTGTAATTAAATGTATCATTAATTAATTCAAATACCGATTCATTTTATGTAAAATACATATATAATTATTTCACTATTTACATTTACATTTCATGATCCTGCATTGCAGTGATTCATGAATTACTTAAAACTGTCAAACTGACCCATCAAAGTCAGTGGGCGGGGCTAACGCGAATCTAGTCTGATCCATTGCTTTGGTCTGAAGTAGAGTAGGCCAACCTGGATAGAGACAATGGAGGATCTCCGTGAACTTTCCAGGGAGTTGGTTAGAGACATTTTAAACTTAGCAGAGGATGTAGAAGCAGGACCTGCTGACATTATCCGGAATTGATTTGTCTTGGCTTGATGCAGAGGGTAACCAATCAGGCGTTAGGTTCCGCCTACCAACTTTTGATGGGTCAGTTTGACAGTTTTAAGTAATTCATGAATCACTGCAATGCAGGATCATGAAATGTAAATGTAAATAGTGAAATAATTATATATGTATTTTACATAAAATGAATCGGTATTTGAATTAATTAATGATACATTTAATTACACATTTATGTATTTAATTCTAATTTGAATTAATTAATGACACATTTAATTAATTAATGACACATTTAAGTAATTATTTAATGGTGTATTTATTTATTTAATTGTGGCACTTTTAGTCCTCCATAAATTAGAGCAGTAACAATAAATGTTTTGTCATACCCGTTGTATACACTCTGATATACTACGGCTGCTGGCAATCAGCATTCAGGGCTTGAACCACCCAGTTTATAATTACAAATAATTTGTAGTCTGCAAATTCACTGCAAGAAGTCCAAACAGATATGTTTGACTAAAACATAATAATTTCAAACCTTGCTTACATTTGTATACGATCACGTGTCTCTTTATTATTCGTGGGAATAATTTTACAGTCCTATGTCCAACAATGAAAATGTAAAAAAGTATATATAATTGTTTTATTTTGCTCCGAAAACTCGGCCTGCCAGTTGGGGAACTCTGTTGTAGCCCATGGAGTGGGGACTGGGCTGTTTGTCGGCCAATAGCGGTCCCCAGTGTCCCCTGTGTGTGCAGATTTTAGTTCCTACATGTGTGTGCTATAGTCCCGTGTAGCTCAGTTGGTAGAGCATGGCGTTTGCTACGCCAGTGTTGTGGGTTCGTTTCCCACGGGGGACCAGTATGAAAAAAAATGTATGCACTCACTAACTGTAAGTCGCTCTGGATAAGAGCGTCTGCTAAATGACTAAAATGTAAGAAGAAGAGGAAGAAGAGCTAATCTTATTGAGAAAAGGCCCGTCTCTCAATCCCCATCCCACCCCAGCCCAACAGTTGGAGATATTGCATTATCTAGCTAACTGCTGAGCTGCAACATTATGCCAAAGAAGAAGAACTGATGCGTAGACCAGACGTATAAAATAACGGTGCCGACCCGGAATTGAGTTGTTGTCTTTTATTCGATGGGGTTGATTTCAATTAAAAAATTAAAAAATTCGTAGCAGAATCACCGAGTTTGACGAGCAAGCACGATTGACACGAATAGAGGAGAAGAGAACACCCGAAAGGCGCATCTTTAGATGTTTCTTGTCAAGGCAGGTTTGCGGACAGCTATATTACTTGGAGGGTCCCCAATGACATTAGCTAGCTAGGCTATGTAATTGTTAAGAGTGATGCCGACCGACTGTATGTTATTGTTAACGTTTAATGTTTTTGTGTTTGTGTATTCGTCCACGATTTGCGTTTACTGGGAGTAGTGAACACGTTTATCTGGCTGTAGGCTACATCAACAAGGTTTTCCCCCCAGGATCACCTTGACAAAGCAGGCCAGAGTTCCTACTTTTTTCAACATTTTTTGCACGGTCAGTAGGCTATCAGTGTTTGAGAATCTCAGCCTAACTTCCCCACTTTTGATTGACACTTGAAACATTATTGCGCTTCTGTCAAAAACGCAGACACGGTTACTTTGTAGTCAGATTGGCATCTCATTTACACGAAACAGTGTACATTTTTGTTCTGTAACTGCTGTGACAACGTTTCACTTTTTATTTATTTATTTTAACTAGGCTTAACTCTTCATTAATAGGCACTCTGTAGCTAGTAAGATTCTAAACGCCCTCGGACCTCTGGACGTTGACATCCTGCCTCCACAAATCACACCAGACGAGTGAGTTTGCATCCGTGTGTCATCGCAGCACTGTCATGCTGCTGTCTCACTCCGACCTATGGAAAGTCAGTTTGGAGTACATCTCCAGACCCTGCACGGTGGTCCTCGCCACCATCACCGCTGCCCTGTACTACCTCTGGGGCCGTGAGGGCCAGGTCAGTCCCTCGGTCCGAGACTAGCTGCCTTCGGGGTACTGTCTCCTGGCTTTGAGAGCATGTGCCTCTGCGCCCCTGTCCCATTTACCATCTAGTTTTTTACTCTTGAGTGCTTCATACCTCTATCTGCGGGCACTCGCATTATGTCCATCCCTCACCTTAGTTTTTAGAGCAGGCTATAGGAACCAAATAAGTTATCACCCAATATTGTATTGATCTTGGACTTGATAGGCCTATCGGATATAAATTAGGCATGTACCCTGTAAGATATGCTATCATCCAGTGTTCTCCATCCTCATTGTTATCACCTTTTACTCATATGTAGATTTTGTTCCATTGCCCAACCACCACAGCTAGCAGAACATATGGCCCACAGTGTCTGTTTGTTTGCCTCTGCTTATTCTACTCTGTTTTCACCCATTTCTATCTTCTCTTTTGTTCTCCCTCTGTCTCTCTCACACCCACACTTACACCTGTGCACACCTTTGTTTAGTCCCCTTTGCTCATACACACATGCTCACATACCCATGTCCTCTCTCTCTCTCTCGCCTTCACCCTCAGACACCGGTCTTGGTGTGTAGCGATGCATTCCGTGTGTTCCTACAGAGGCACTGTCCCGTGGTGGCTGAGCGCTTCAGCCCTACTCCCTGGTGCTGGGGCGGCCGGCTGCAGACACTGGTCAGAGTGCTCATCAAGTCCAGCCCCCAGGTTGACTACAGGAAGTAAGACAACCCAGAACCCACAACTTCCTTCCCTCCTCTCTACCTGTAACCTCTATAGTCATCTGCATATTGGGCCCACTTAATGTATACCATTTGAAAGGGTATTCTGTTAATACTAACCCTCCTGTCTCCTCCACTCTCCTCAGTGAATTGATCAGGACAGCTGACGGAGGTCAGATCTCTCTGGACTGGGTAGATAACGGGGCCAGCGCCGCCTACCCAGAATGCTACTCTCGTCCCACAGTGCTCATCCTGCCGGGCCTCACAGGGAACAGTCGCCAGACCTACGTCCTCCATGCCGTCAGCCAAGCCACACGCCGCGGATACAGGTCAGCCTGAGAGGCCATGACCTCTCACCTTTCACTTTACCTGTCATGCTATATGGAGTCCTTGGAAAAATCTCAAACAGTTTCTTGTTGGTTCTGGATTGGACTAGATTGGTCAAACAGTGCAGTATGGTAGCTTGACTCTGTCAACTGGAGTTGAGAAACACCGAAATGGGGCTCTTTGTCACTGTGCTGAGGTTTGGAATCTGAGATTAGATCTTTGTCTCTCTGTTTTCCCAGATGTGTGGTCTTCAACAATAGAGGGTTTGGAGGAGAAGAACTACTGGTAAATTCAGGGAGTGACTGAATGCCTTTTAAGTGCACTATCATGCATATTCCATCAGGGTCTGACACAATGCAATTTTACAAGCAGTTTGATAAGACATTATACTACTGTTCAAAGCTGACATTGTATACAAACATCAATAATGTAACATATGGTCTATGCAGTGCTTGAGCCTAGTAGTCTCATCACCTTGTCAGCACCTGTCTTCTCTCCCAGTAGACTCTGATGATCCCAGTCCTACCCCAGTAACCTACACCCACCCCCCTCTCTCTCCCCCAGACCCCTCTGACCTTCTGTGCGGCGGACACCTCAGACCTGGAACGGGTGGTCCTCCATGTCAGGGAACTCTTCCCACAAGCCCCTCTGCTGGGCACCGGCGTGTCTCTGGGAGGGTAAGTGCTTATAAATAAATAAAAATACATAGAGGTTCTAACTGCTTAAGTCTGTTCATAGCACATTTTGTGACGATTTGTTTTTTTCCTCCCTTCTACCCCTCTCTAAACACTCTTCTTTCCCCATCTTCTATCTTTTTCTTCTCTTTCGCTCCTCTCCTGTCTTCTCCCTCACCTTCCCTCCTATTCCCGTATGTATCCCAGCATGCTCTTGTTGAACTACCTGGCTCGTAAGGGTAGTGAGGCAGGGCTCGTTGCCGGCCTCACCATGTCTGTCAGCTGGGACACACTGGAGTCCTGTGCCTCGCTGGAACAACCAATCAACCGCCTGATCTTCAACCGACACCTCGCCAGCAGCCTGTGCCGAGCCATTAACAGGTAAGACTGACTTGTTTAGTCGCTGTGGTTGTGGTTTCCATGTACGTGTTGCTGTGAATGTTGTTGCCATGGTTATTGGCCTTTCAAAATGGAACAAGACCTGTCATTACTAGCCTTGGTGTGATTGCAACCCACATATCTGTCTCTCTCTTGCGTTCTGTCAGACACAGGAAGATGTTGGAGACTGTGGTGGATGTGGACCATGTACTAAAGGTAAGAACCAGTTTCATATGGTTTATCTATGAGGTGCCATCCTGTTGTGTGTAGAATGAGTGTATTAGTTGTTGCGCTGGTGCCCTTTTTTAAATCTAACTCTCTCCCTACGCCCCTTTGTGTTTACCCTCTCAGGCACGTACTATCCGGGAGTTTGACGAGCGCTACACGTCGGTCATGTTTGGCTATAAGTCCTGTCTGGACTACTACCAGGAGGCCAGTCCAAACTACAAGCTTCCCAGGACGACAGTGCCCATTCTCTGCCTCAATGCTGCCGATGACCCCTTCTCCCCCAAACATGGTGGGTACTGCCTGGGATAGTGCCTGGGGTATAGATGGTTCTTATTTAGATTTTGGAAGCAGCCCTCAACGTTTGTCATATGTACAAAAGTATGTGGACACCCCTTCAAATTAGTGGATTTGGCTATTGCTGACAGGTGTATAAAATCGAGAACACAGCCATGCAGTCTCCATAGACAAACATTGGCAGTAGAATGGCCTTACTGAAGAGCTCAGTGACTTTCAACGTGGCACCGTCATAGGATGCCACCTTTCAAACAAGTCAGTTCGTCAAATTTCTGCCCTGCTAAAGCTGCCCCGGTCAACTGTAAGTGGAAAAGTCTAGGAGCAACAACGGCTCAGCCGCGAGGTGGTAGGCTACACAAGCTCACAGAACGGGACAGGCGAGTGCTGAAGCGCGTAGCGTGTAAAAATCGTCTGTCCTCAGTTACAACACTCACTACAGAGTTTCAAACTGTCTCTGGAAGCAATGTCAGCACAAGAGCTGTTCGTCGGGAGCTTTATGAAATGAGTTTTCCTGTGCACAAAGCGAGGTCCATACAGAAATGATTTGTTGAGATCAGTGTGGAAGAACTTGACTGGCCTGCACAGAGCCCTGACCTCAACCCCATCGAACACCTTTTGAAGTGGAACGCCGACTGTGAGCCAGGCCTAATCGCCCAACATCAGTGCCCGACCACACTAGTGTTTTTGTGGCTGAATGGAAGCAATGTTACAACATCTAGTGGAAACCCTTCCCAGAAGAGTGGATGCTGTTATAGCAGCAAAGGGGGGACCAACTCCATATTAATGCCCATGATTTTTGAATGAGCTATTTCAAAGATTTTACTGAGTTACAGTTCATAGGAAATCAGTCAATTTAAATAAATAAATTAGGCCCTAATCGATGGATTTCACATGACTGGGAATACAGCTATGCATCTGTTAGTCACAGATACCATAAAAGAAATGTGCCTCACAATGGGCCTCAGGATCTCGTCACGGTATTTCTGTGCATTCAAATTGCCATCGATAAAATGCAATTGTGTTCAGCCTTTTATTGTCCCCAGTGCATTCAGACCCCTTGACTATTTCCACATTTTGTTACTTACAGCCTTATTCTAACATTTATTAAATTACATTTTTCAATCTACACACAATACCCCATAATGACAAAGCGAAAACAGATTTGTTTTTGAAATTTTAGCAAATGTAAAAAAAACAGAAATACCTTATTTACATAAGTATTCAGACCCTTTGCTATGAGACTCGGAATTGAGCTCCGGTGCATCCTCTTTCCATTGATCATCCTTGAGATGTTTCTACAACTTGATTGGAGTCCACCTGTGGTAAATTCAATTGATTGGACATGATTTGGAAAGGCACACACCTGTCTATATAAGGTCCCACAATTGACATTGCATGTCAAAGCAAAAACCAAGCCATGAGGTCGAAGGAATTGTCCGTAGAGCTCTGAGACAGGATTGTGTCGAGGCAGAGATCTGGGGAAGGGTACCAAAAAAATTCGCCAGAATTGAAAGTGGCCTCAATCATTCTTAAATGGAATAAGTTTAGAACCACCAAGACTCTTCCTAGAGCTGGCCGCCCAACCAAACTGAGCAATCGGGGGAGAAGGGCCTTTGTCAGGGAGGTGACCGAGAACCCGATGGTCATTCTGACAGAGCTCGAGTTCCTCTGTGGAGATGGGAGAACCTTCCAGAAGGACAACCATCTCTGCAGCACTCCACCAATCAGGCCTTTATGGTAGAGTGGCCAGACGGAAGCCACTCCTCAGTAAAAGGCAAGACAGCCTGCTTTGGAGTTTGCCAAAAGGCACCTAAAGGACTCTCAGACCATGAGAAACAGGATTCTCTGGTCTGAAGAAACCAAGGTTGAACTCTTTGTCCTGAATGCCATGCGTCATGTCTGGAGGAAACCTGGCACCATTCCTACGGTGAAGCATGGTAGTGGCAGCATCATGCTGTGAAGATGTTTTTCAATGGCAGGGGCAGGGACTGGTAGACCAGTCAGGATCGAGGGAAAGATGAGCGGAGCAAAGTACAGCGAGATCCTTGATGAAAACCTGCTCAGGACCTCAGACTGGAACATTTACATTACATTTACGTCATTTAGCAGACGCTCTTATCCAGAGCGACTTACAAATTGGTGCATTCACCCTATAGCCAGTGGGATAACCACTTTACAATTTTTTTTTTTTTTTTGGGGGGGGGGGGGGGGGTAGAAGGATTACTTTATCCTATCCAAGGTATTCCTTAAAGAGGTGGGGTTTCAAATGTCTCCGGAAGGTGGTGAGTGACTCCGCTGTCCTGGCGTCGTGAGGGAGCTTGTTCCACCATTGGGGTGCCAGAGCAGCGAACAGTTTTGACTGGGCTGAGCGGGAACTATGCTTCCGCAGAGGAAGGGGAGCCAGCAGGCCAGAGGTGGATGAACGCAATGCCCTCGTTTGGGTGTAGGGACTGATCAGAGCCTGAAGGTACGGAGGTGCCGTTCCCTTCACAGCTCCATAGGCAAGCACCATGGTCTTGTAACAGATGCGAGCTTCAACTGGAAGCCAGTGGAGTGTGTGGAGGAGCGGGGTGACGTGAGAGAACTTGGGAAGGTTGAACACCAGACGGGCTGCGGCATTCTGGATGAGTTGTAGGGGTTTAATGGCACAGGCAGGGAGCCCAGCCAACAGCGAGTTGCAGTAATCCAGACGGGAGATGACAAGTGCCTGGATGTTGGAAGGTTCACCTTCCAACAGGACAACAACCCTAAGCACACAGCCAAGACAACGCAGGAGTGGCTTCGGGACAAGTCTCTGAATGTCCTTGAGTGGCCCAGCCAGAACCCAATCGAACATCTCTGGAGTGACCTGACAATAGCTGTGCAGCGACGCTCCCCATCCAACCTGACAGAGCTTGAGAGTATCTGCAGAGAAGGATTGGAGAAACTCCCCAAATACAGGTGTGCCAAGCTTGTAGCGTCATACCCAAGATGACTCGAGGCTGTAATTGCTGCCAAAGGTATTTCAACAAAGTACTGAGTAAAGGGTCTGAATACTTATGTAAATGTGATATTTCAGTTTTTTTTTTTTTTATACATTTGCTAAAATGTCTAAAAACCAGTTTTTGCTTTGTCGTTATGGGGTATTGTGTGTAGATTGAGAAGGAAAATACAACAATTTAATCAATTTTTGAACAAGACTGTAACATAACAAAATGTGGAAAAAGTCAAGGGGTCTGAAAGTTTTCCGAATGCACTGTGTATATATAGTGATCAATTGTTGGTCTTCATCTAAATGCTTCAAACTGATATTTTCCTCCTTCGGTGTCACTCCCTTCCTCTCCATCTTCTACCCCCCCCCCCCCACCCTTTCTCTCTCCCCTCCCTCTTTCTCTCTCCCCTCCCTCTTTCTCTCTCCCCTCCCTCTTCCTCTCTCCCCTCCCTCGTTTTCTCTCTCCCCTCGTTTTCTCTCCCGTCCCCTCCCTTGTTCTCTTTCTCTCTCTCTCTCTCTCCCCTATCTTTCTCTCTCCCCTCCCCTCTTTCTCTCCCCTCCCTCTTTCTCGCTCCCCTCCCTCTTTCTCGCTCCCCTCCCTCTTTCTCGCTCCAGCCCTCCCGGTGGCCCTAGCCAAGCGCCTGCCTAACGTAGCCCTGTTGGTGACATCCCACGGCGGACACATAGGCTACCTAGAGGGCCTTTACCCACGTGGGGAGGGCTACATGGACCGCCTGTTCGGCCAGTTCATTCAGGCAGCCTTTGATCACCCTGGGGACCTCAAGGGGGCCTGCAGCATCAAGGAAGACCTGCTGGATTGACCTCAGACACCCTGGTCATGTGATAAGGTCCTGAGTGATCTGGGACTGACCGATTAACCTCACCAGCACCCCCTCTTCTTTTTAATCTCAGGTGCTTATTCGTCGACCAATCAGACAGAGCTTAACGCAATAGACACTATGACATCATATGTCAAAAATGTTATAAATTGATTTTTGCATTTTAATGAGGGAAATAAGTATTTGACCCCTCTGCAAAACATGATTTAGTACTTTGTGGCAATCACAGATGTCAGACGTTTCTTGTAGTTGGCCACCAGGTTTGCACACATCTCAGGAGGGATTTTGTTCCACTCCTCTTTGCAGGTCTTCTCCAAGTCATTAAGGTTTCGAGGCTGACGTTTGGCAACTCGAACCTTCAGCTCCCTCCACAGATTTTCTATGGGATTAAGGTCTGGAGACTGGCTAGGCCACTCCAGGACCTTAATGTGCTTCTTCTTGAGATACACTTTGTTGCTTTGGCCGTGTGTTTTGGGTCATTGTCATGCTGGAATACCCATCCGCTACCCATTTTCAATGCCCTGGCTGAGGGAAGGAGGTTCTCACCCAAGATTTGACGGTACATGGCCCCGTCCATTGTCCCTTTGATGCGGTGAGGTTGTCCTGTCCCCTTAGCAGAAAAACACCCCCAAAGCATAATGATTCCACCTCCATGTTTGACGGTGGGGATGGTGTTCTTGGGGTCATAGGCAGCATTCCTCCTCCAAACACAGGGAGTTGAGTTGATGCCAAAGAGCTCCATTTTGGTCTCATCTGACCACAACACTTTCACCCAGTTCTCCTCTGAATCATTCAGATGTTCATTGGCAAACTTCAGACGGGCCTATATATGTGCTTTCTTGAGCAGGGGGACCTTGCGGGCGCTGCAGAATTTCAGTCCTTCACGGCGTACTGTGTTACAAATTGTTTTCTTGGTGACTATGGTCCCAGCTGCCTTGAGATCATTGACAAGATCCTCCTGTGTAGTTCTGGGCTGATTCCTCACCGTTCTCATGATCATTGCAACTCCACGAGGTGAGATCTTGCATGGAGCCCCAGGCCGAGGGAGATTGACAGGTGTGTTTCTTCCATTTGCAAATAATCGCACCAACTGTTGTCACCTTCTAACCAAGCTGCTTGGCGATGGTCTTGTAGCCCATTCCAGCCTTTTGTAGGTCTACAATCTTGTCCCTGACATCCCTGGAGAGCTCTTTGGTCTTGGCCATGGTGGAGAGTTTGGAATCTGATTGATTGATTGCTTCTGTGGACAGGTGTCTTTTATACAGGTAACAAGCTGAGATTAGGTGCACTCCCTTTAAGAGTGTGCTCCTATTCTCAGCTCGTTACCTGTATAAAAGACACCTGGGAGCCAGAAATCTTTCTGATTGAGAGGGGGTCAAATACTTACCGGTATTTCCCTCATTAAAATGCAAATCAATTTATAACATTTTTTACATGCGTTTTTCTGGATTGTTTTGTTGTCATTCTGTCTCTCACTGTTCAAATAAACCTACCATTAAAATTATAGACTGATAATTTCTCTGTCAGTGGGCAAACGTACAAAATCAGCAGGGGATCAAATACTTTTTTCCCTCACTGTAGCTTAAAAACTAAATTAAAAGATACACTTTTCGTTCATCTTTTAATTTAGTTTTTAAGCTACAGTGAGGGAAAAAAGTATTTGATCCCCTGCTGATTTTGTACGTTTGCCCACTGACATAGAAATGATCAGTCTATAAATTTAATGGTAGGTTTATTTTTAACAGTGAGAGACAGAATAACAACAAAAAAATCCAGAAAAACGCATGTCAAAAATGTTATAAATTGATTTGCATTTTAATGAGGGAAATAAGTATTTGACCCCTCTGCAAAACATGACTTACTACTTGGTGGCAAAACCAATGTTGGCAATCACAGAGGTCAGACGTTTCTTGTAGTTGGCCACCAGGTTTGCACACATCTCAGGAGGGATTTTGTCCCACTCCTCTTTGCAGATCTTCTCCAAGTCATTAAGGTTTCGAGGCTGATGTTTGGCAACTCGAACCTTCAGCTCCCTCCACATATTTTCTATGGGATTAAGGTCTGGAGACTGACTAGGCCACTCCAGGACCTTAATGTGCTTCTTCTTGAGCCACTCCTTTGTTGCCTTGGCCGTGTGTTTTGGGTCATTGTCATGCTGGAATATCCATCCACGACCCATTTTCAATGCCCTGGCTGAGGGAAGGAGGTTCTCACCCAAGATTTGACGGTACATGGCCCCGTCCATCGTCCCTTTGATGTGGTGAAGTTGTCCTGTCCCCTTAGCAGAAAAACACCCCCAAAGCATAATGTTTCCACCTCCATGTTTGACAGTGGGGATGGTGTTCTTTCTGATTGAGAGGGGGTCATACTTATTTCCCTCATTAAAATGCAAATCAATTTATAACATTTTTGACATGCGTTTTTCTGGATTCTTTTGTTGTTATTCTGTCTCTCACTGTTCAGATAAACCTACCATAAAAATTATAGACTGATCATTTCTTTGTCAGTGGGCAAACGTACAAAATCAGCAGGGGATCAAATACTTTTTTCCCCTCACTGTACTTGGGTTTTATTCTCATATAATATGGTTATGTGATTGTAATAGTGGTTAGCATACACAATAAAATAAATGGAAACGTCTTTGTATAACATACTGCACTTAATCATTCTTTGGTAGTCAATTACATTTCAATTTAGGAGATCATTGAAATTCCAGTGAAAAAGTTGAAGTGCAATTTATTTTCAATTAGGATTTTTTCATTGAATTAGAATTTTGATTCACATCCAGATTTGACTGAACTGAAATTGACCTCATCTGATTCCACCACAAAGAGAACAGATGAAATATATTGAACATGAAGGAATATGTTATGTAATACATACTGTGTATATTTATCTGTGTAAAGGCTATATCGATGAATGTATAAAATGCAAGCTGTCTAAGACTTGCCTTAGCGTTGGTCCTATCTCGGCCAGGAAAATGTGTTTGAAAAAATAGTTTTTTTATCATCAATATTGTTGGAGATTGTTTTTGACTTTTTTTGTTGCAACATCCAAACCTATGCTGAAGTTTTTCACAATTCCATTTCAAAACAATCTGGGGTTTCCCACACATTCCACAACATAGCTTAGTCCTGCATACGTTCATGTGCATGATATGACCCAGAAAATCAATATCTTTATTTGTATGTAAAGTACTGTACACATATTAAGCTAGACATGGTAAATTAAAGGATGTAAAGGAGTGCAAATTGCTATCAGAAATGTCTGCTTGCTGTCCTTCTCTCTTGGTTTACAAATACAAGTGTAAAACCCCTGATTGTTTAATATGGACCAGTACCACTATACTAGCTATGCTATTTTAAATCCAGCCTATGTTTGATAATTATTATTGTGAGATGTGATTTTGATGAGTATTTTGAGGTTGTTTATTTGATTTGCAGTATTTTGTTCAATGGAGGATACATGCACAAAGCTCTGAGACGGCCTAAATTATGATACATTTTAAGATGCCTTGTGAGCTCTGACCTTACCCAAGGACTAAACCATTTAATTCAATGACACCCACAAGGGTGTGTGACAACTCAGTGGTTTAAACCTAGGGAAAGCTCACGTTTGACTTTTTTTATTTCTTAGTTTTGGAAGATTGTTTACCGCTTTGACTTGTTTGAAATTTGTACACAATTGTGGAAGTTTGAGTAAATATGTTTTATGATTATGGACTATATTATACAGAATGTCTTGTGGTTAAGTAACAGATATAGGTAATATTGCACAATGCGTGTCATGACAATGGAGCAACTATGTCTGTCTGTCTATCTTGCACTGAGACACTGGCTAAAGCAGTTACGGTAAAACAGGAAGATGATGTGATGTTTTTATGATGCTGCCATGGCGATCACCAGTAGTACCCTCCTCTTCCATCCCCACCCTATTAACTCTTATACACACTTGTGTTATTACTCAGTAATAACATCCGCTGGCACAAGACGGCCTGGAACTTGGGAGGAAGGCCCCACATACACTGACTGACCACTATACCTGCTGCACTGCAATGACAATGTGATGGCAATAATAATCTATTGTAATTTTTTTCTAGACCTTCCATTGTCCTTTTCTGTTGTTACCATGCCACTAATTTAAATATTAAATCTGTATTCCTTAATAAAAACACAAAGTAACAGTTGTTGTTTCTGTCAATATTCTGTTATTCAGTTATACAGTGGGAGGAAAAAGGTATTTAGTCAGCCACCAATTGTGCAAGTTCTCCCACTTAAAAAGATGAGAGAGGCCTGTAATTTTCATCACAGGTACACGTCAACTATGACAGACAAATTGAGATTTTTTTTCTCCAGAAAATCACATTGTAGGATTTTTAATGAATTTATTTGCAAATTATGGTGGAAAATAGTATTTGGTCACCTACAAACAAGCAAGATTTCTGGCTCTCACAGACCTGTAACTCTTCTTTAAGAGGCTCCTCTGTCCTCCATTCATTACCTGTATTAATGGCACCTGTTTGAACTTGTTATCAGTATAAAAGACACCTGTCCACAACCTCAAACAGTCACACTCCAAACTCCACTATGGCCAAGACCAAAGAGCTGTCAAAGGACACCAGAAACAAAATTGTAGACCTGCACCAGGCTGGGAAGACTGAATCTGCAATAGGTAAGCAGCTTGGTTTGAAGAAATCAACTGTGGGAGCAATTATTAGGAAATGGAAGACATACAAGACCACTGATAATCTCCCTCGATCTGGGGCTCCACGCAAGATCTCACACCGTGGGGTCAAAATGACCACAAGAACGGTGAGCAAAAATCCCAGAACCACACGGGGGGACCTAGTGAATGACCTGCAGAGAGCTGGGACCAAAGTAACCAAGCCTACCATCAGTAACACACTACGCCGCCAGGGACTCAAATCCTGCAGTGCCAGACGTGTCCCCCTGCTTAAGCCAGTACATGTCCAGGCCCGTCTGAAGTTTGCTAGAGTGCATTTGGATGATCCAGAAGAGGATTGGGAGAATGTCATATGGTCAGATGAAACCAAAATAGAACTTTTTGGTAAAAACTCAACTCGCGTTGTTTGGAGGACAAAGAATGCCGAGTTGCCTCCAAAGAACACCATACCCACTGTGAAGCATGGGGGTG